AAGAATAAATACTTCTATTTTATATAATTTGACTCTGAGTGTCTCTTACGCAGTGATGTTTGTTTGAGATGAATTTTTGCCACAACATTATCAAACAATCGGTTTGTCCAGCAAACAGCCGTAAGATTAACTTACCAACTTCTCAACAAAGTTATCCCTTTTTATAAACTCCAAGAAATCTCAATGTTCCGGCCGTGAACATTAATTTTCTCGTGTTTATAAAATTTACGTTACTGAAATAGTAACAACTTGTAAAGCTTTGTAGCTATGAGATCATCATTTCATTGACTCGTAATATAAGCTCTTAGACAGAAAGCAATCAAGAACATGGTTTTAATAATTGAAACTACGGATACAGAATTCTACATTTAAACACGGGATACATGTATGTACAGTTAAACAGTAAAACTAATGAGACAGACGAATCACAAACAGGAGTGAGAGAGAGAGAGGTTGCGAGAGAGAAAGATTGGGAGAGAGAGAGAGAGAGAGAGAGAGAGAGAGAGAGAGAGAGAGAGAGAGAGAGAGAGAGAGAGAGAGAGTGTGTAAGAAGATCTGGAGAGATCTTCTTGTTTGGCAAAATTCATCCCAGACACAGAACCTTTTGAGACAACAAGAATCAACAAATCTTAAATAAGCATAGTAAAACGGGTACTTGCACAGGTAAAGCTATTTTGCGGCTGACTGATGTGAAGCAGGCGTGTGTCTCTCTCGGTCATGTGGATGCCGAGCGTTTGGGTTCGTCCAGCGCGCGCAAACGCGGCGTGTTTGAATGTCCTTGTAGGTGAAGCTTGCCAGTCTGGCTGTGTTCATTTTCTTTGCGAGAAGACATGAACAGAGGAGACTTCGAAAAAGATCAAATAAACTTGAAGAAAACAAAAAGAGAAACGATGGATCATCACACTAAGGCGAGGTCCAGATGCACGAGGAGTCACATGATGAAGCATCGAAGAGCAGGAAGAGCCAGGGAGTTTAGGCAGAGAGTTTTCAGGAAGCTTTCAGAAGCATGAAGGGAAGCTCGGCGCGTCTCTTTAAGGACACTTAGGTTCACGCCCCTTCTGGCATGAAGGCACCAATCAGCTGGGAGAAAAATGCCCGCTGAAGATTCCTCTTTGTCTTGTCAGGATCATTTATGATGGTATAACATTTTCTCATTCCTACCAAGAAAGATTGTACAAACCGGACAATAGATTTTACAGTAATATCCTATGTATGACTGGTTCAGTCAAAACAAGACGGTCAAATAGCTACCAAACATGGCAGGTAAAAGTAGAAGAACATAAAGTTACATTCATATGCAGAATTACAAGCATTTTAAAGTTTGCTTAACACACAATAAAATTGTCAGTACTTCCAGTATGGCATGTGACGACATCTAAGCACAAAAATGAATACATTTAATTGGGGGGGGGGGGGGGGGGGGGGGGCAGGATGCGTGTCCCGTGAGACGGCGAGGTTTGAATGGTTGACCATTTGTTGAAGACAACGCTGGCTTGTTCCAAATGTGTCATGTGCTAGGGAGACTCCAGCCATAGTGGCACCCCTGCTGGTCAACATGCCCGAAGGGGGTCGTATACAGAATGCCCCTTTGTTTACTCACGAAGAACTGACCTTTGTTTGCAAATCGGGATTCGCTAATTTAGACACATCTGTCCGGATACCCTGTCAGAGTTGCTACAATTTCATTGTTGCCTATGGAGGAGTCAAAGTCAAAGAGTTTTATTTGTCATTTCAACCATATACAGTACAGTACACAGTGGAACGAGACAACGTTCCTCCGGAACCATGGTGCTACATAACACATATAGAACTAGTTATAAAATATGTAAAATAAATAAAAATTCCTATATAAAGTGCACGTGCAGAGACGTGTGCAGAGTATGGGACAGTACAAAACATTTTTAACCCTCTGGGGTCTGAGGTGTTTTCGGGGTCCTTGAGATGTTTTGGCATGCTCTGACATTTCTGCTTTTTTCAGTTGCTTATAAACATATTAATGGCACAGGTGAAATTACACTCTATATAGCACACACAGGGCTACCATAATATGTGAGCAACATGTATGTACATGTTTGTATTTTTGAGAGAATATTGTTTATGCGTGGTTATTGAAAAAACTAATATAAGGCCACAAATAACATACTAAATATCTGTCCACAAGACTTTTGACTAGTGGATGTTGTCGCCTAGAGCTTTTGCTTCGAATTGATCTGAAAATCATTCTGCCTAATCATTCACATAAAACAATAGATTGTTTTAAATTGTGAAAAACATTTTTTTGTTTGCAAAGGCAATATGCGGATGGGCGGAACGGCCCAACCCCCTCATGAATAATTAGGCAGTTCTCACCTGAGCAGACTGCATACTAATGAGCCTTTCATTCAGGGGTGTCACACAAGAAAGAATGCAAGGACAATATATATATATAAATAAATAAATATCTATACACACACACACACACACACACACACACACACATATATATATATATATATATAAAATCGGCGTTCGTAGATCGACTGGTAAAGGCTGTATTTCAAAGATGGCTTGTGCCTGTATACGCGAAGTTGACTGTATGTTTAAAATATCTTCTTATTAAACTGTCTGTACACTTACAAAGTTCTCAATGCTTCGGTTTGAAGGTAGGGACCCTCATTATGCTACCGTGTTAGTGTGGGTCTATTTTCAGCCTTGTTAGTGGTATTAACAAGCGATTTTTATTTGTCATTACACTATGCCCAATATACTAGCGTTATACTAGCTTTATAGGCTAAACTGTTTTTAGAGATAAAACTATTTACATTCGATAATCATGAAAACAAATCTCAGATAACGGTTGACTAGGTAACAATGTGTAAATAGACCAAAGGTTCATTTTGCGCCGGAGTTCTCCTTTAAGTCAGCCTCAGACTCCGATAGCCTGTGAGGGGGTTGGAGGGACAGTTGCTGGACAAAGGTGTTAATGTTCCTCTTTCATATGGAGAGTGTCGGATAGCCAGCCTGATGAGCAGGCAAAATTATTGTAAGGATAAATCTGTGTCCAAATGTAGACCCCATATCTTATTAAATTATAAATATTGTAGTTTATTTATTGTAGCCTATTTAAAGTTTTTTTCACACAAAATTTCAATTGAAGTTATTGTAAGGTGAATTCAACAAGGCATGCTGTGTCTTTGAAGCAACAATTAAAGGTTAAATAATTTTTTCGTGATTTGTATGGCTGACACGCAGCGACATATACAGTATTATCAGCTGTATGATGTGTTTTTACCCTGAAATGTTCAATTTCAAGAGAGACGCGGCGCGCGCAGCGAGGGAGACTAAATAAACTTGTTAAAAAGAGATCCAGCGCGAGAGAGGCAAAGAGAAACGCATGTTTTTAATTTAATTATGTTTCTTTGGACAATTTTCGTTTTGTACTGTTTCAATTGTTTAATTTAGCTGTAATTTCTTTGGCAATACAAATTTAAAATGTCGCAAGAATAAGATTAGCCTAGTGTTTCTTATTTTGCATCGCAAAAGAAATAAACTCTAAACCCGATGCAACCCTGTTTTAAATTAAAAAATTTAAACCTTGAAATGTTCGAACTTGGTTTCAAACTTAAGTAATTTTAGTGTTCATTTACATTACACAATAATTTAGCAGACTAAAGACGAGCTTCTTCATTTTCATTTTCTGATGCAATCGGCTGACAATCTTCCTTCAGTTTTTGTCGTTTGTGCAGCGGCTGCGGTTCTACAGGAATGTAGCAAATTTATGTTGTAATGATAATCAAACAAAACTCTTGACTTTAAATAAGTAAACAGATATAAACAGTTACCTATTTAAGCATCAAGGTTGGAAAATATAAACGCTGTAGGACAACATCGGTTAACAACATGTAGGCCTATACTACATTGAGATTCGATCTCGGGTCTATTGAAGTTCCTCGAAGCTCGTGTTGTTGCGTTGATCATTGAGCTACTGTCTGTAGGCTACGCTGTTAAAGTTGTAAAGCCACATTGATGTAGCCTAAATGTTTTTATTGCAATGTTTTATGTTGAAATGTTTTCATTATTTATTCAATTACATTTCAGTAGCCTCATAGCCTTGAATACATCTGCTACCAGCTTTCAATCGCTCTGAATCAGCCGCGGTGCGGCAGCAGATTACGCATTAGAGAGAATAAACCGGAATAAACGAACACTTTTCAGAGTCTATGATTGTAGCGCCTCTTAGCGGTAAACGGCAGCAAATACACCACACATTTTACCGCCGCGGTGGAACACGGGGGAACGGCTGATGTGGGCATTGTCATGGCTTGCCTCGACATTTGCGTTTGAATAGCGCGCGTCCTCCGTGGGCGTGTCAGATTAACGCGTAATGAAGTGTAATGAGCTGGGGAAAAAAATACTGACAGCACTCTCTTTTCATACAGATTGCATAAACTGAGAATATTTGTTTTTTATATAAATAACTTCATTTAAAAGAAGAGAATTCAAGCTTCGTAAAAAGAAAAATCTCTCGTGCCTGTGTGACAAGTAAGACGCGTTTCAGAATGGACTTCACTGACAGAGAGAACGCAGAACTCGCATCATGTTTGTTTTTCTTTATTTGGTGAAAAGCACAACACTTTGTTTTTATTGTGAGTATCCACAAAAAAATAGAAACTTAACAGGATCTAATGATGTATAACACTTAAATGTAAGATCAAAATCAACCGAGTATTTTGAGTGTCTTTTGCACTGATAATAAAAAAAGCGAGCAGATCACGCCGGCGTGATTGCCGACCCCAGAGAGTTTTAAACAGTGGACACAACAGAAGTAGTGCAGTGCCGACCAATACAGAGTAGTGCAAACAAATATTACAAATGTAAACAACATACTATGGGATAGTGTTCTACACATAGCAGTTGCTGAGGTAGCTAGCAGACAGTTAAAAAGAGATAGTTTACAGTTTTGTAAAGTGCAACTCGGAACACGTGTGTGTCATACCAGTTTTTGAGTATTTAAAAGTCGAATGGCTTGGGGAAAGAAGCTGTTACACAGTCTGGTTGTGTGGGCCCGAATGCTTCGGTACCTCTTGCCAGATGGCAGGAGGATAAAAAGTTTATGTGAGGGGTGGGTGGGGTCATCCACAATGCTGATTGCTTTGCGAATACAATGTTTTACATAAATGTCTTTGATAGAGGGAAGAGAGACCCCAATGATCTTCTCAGCTGTTCTCACTGTGTAGGGCTTTGTGGTCCGGGAGCAGAAAGGACTTGGATTTCATTAAAAGTATCTTAATTTTTTGTTCTAAAGATGAACAAAGGTCTTACAGGTTTGGAACATATTTAACAACAGAATTTTATTTTGGGGTGAACTAACCCTTTAAAAGTTCAATTTACAAAAATAAAAATAAAAAAAATGTGTCATTACCATGATGCTGTTTGACAGTGCTCATTTTACTTCACTTAGTCCCCCCAATTCCCTACTTCTTGTGTTTCTGTTACCTGTGTTTCTTTTCAGTTCAGTTTGTTAGTTTGACTACCCTCTTGTCTTGTAAATCCTTATTATTTGTACACAGACACTTACAACTGGTCATGCATTATATTGATTTTATCTTAACCTAATTTGTAAGTACGTAGCTTATTTATCCTAACGGTATTACAACTCCCGGTGTGTTACAACCATCCCCTGTCTCCCATATTTAAATAGATTACACAGCATAGACACATTCTCAGAGAAAGATACTACCAAGGTATTGTTAAACTGAATTGTTTATATGTTTCCCATAGAACTGGATAAACCATGGAGGAAATTTGAATGGGGGTAAGCTATGCATGTTTATAAGCTATGATGACAAGTGTTTATTTATATTTCTATGTATACTGTAAAAACTAAAGGTGCCTCAAATATCCTGTCGGATACTCAAGGAACTTAAAAATGTAATTTAAGTGCCTCAAAGCTCTTTCTCCTATAGTAGGGTTACTGGTGGAGCATTGACAATCTTTGCGGTTCTTGCTGGAACTTATGGGATCCTTTAGGCACTTTGTATTCAGTTCAGAGGTTCTGGAGTCAACTTTTCACTACCAAAAGACCTTAAAGTGGGAAAATAGAGGAACTTGAATGCTATAAAAGGGTTATGACAGGGGGTTCAGCGAAAAATCAGCAGCTGGTAGCAGGAAGTAGCTGCCACTGGCAGCCGACCGTACCTGCCAATAAAACCCTATGATAAATCCGGACGTCAGCTGTCGCTAATAACCGGAAGTCGTGGATGACGCATTTAGCCAGGCAAATAAGTTATTATATCAATTTATATATATATATATATATATATATATATATATATATATATGTATATATATATATACACTCACCTAAAGGATTATTAGGAACACCTGTTCAATTTCTCATTAATGCAATGATCTAATCAACCAATCACATGGCAGTTGCTTCAATGCATTTAGGGGTGTGGTCCTGGTCAAGACAATCTCCTGAACTCCAAACTAAATGTCAGAATGGGAAAGAAAGGTGATTTAAGCAATTTTGAGCGTGGCATTTTCGTCCTGTGGGCGAAAATGCCTTGTTGATGCTAGAGGTCAGAGGAGAATGGGCCGACTGATTCAAGCTGATAGAAGAGCAACTTTGACTGAAATAACCACTCGTTACATCCGAGGTATGCAGCAAAGCATTTGTGAAGCCACAACACGCACAACCTTGAGGCGGATGGGCTACAACAGCAGAAGACCCCACCGGGTACCACTCATCTCCACTACAAATAGGAAAAAGAGGCTACAATTTGCAAGAGCTCACCAAAATTGGACAGTTGAAGACTGGAAAAATGTTGCCTGGTCTGATGAGTCTCAATTTATGTTGAGACATTCAGATGGTAGAGCCAGAATTTGGCGTAAACAGAATGAGAACATGGATCCATCATGCCTTGTTACCACTGTGCAGGCTGGTGGTGGTGGTGTAATGGTGTGGGGGATGTTTTCTTGGTACACTTTAGGCCCCTTAGTGCCAATTGGGCATCGTTTAAATGCCACGGCCTACCTGAGCATTGTTTCTGACCATGTCCATCCCTTTATGGCCACCATGTACCCATCCTCTGATGGCTACTTCCAGCAGGATAATGCACCATGTCACAAAGCTCGAATCATTTCAAATTGGTTTCTCGAACATGACAATGAGTTCACTGTACTAAAATGGCCCCCACAGTCACCAGATCTCAACCCAATAGAGCATCTTTGGGATGTGGTGGAACGGGAGCTTCGTGCCCTGGATGTGCATCCCACAAATCTACATCAACTGCAAGATGCTATCCTATAAATATGGGCCAACATTTCTAAAGAATGCTTTCAGCACCTTGTTGAATCAATGCCACGTAGAATTAAGGCAGTTCTGAAGGCGAAGGCGAAAAACACAGTATTAGTATGGTGTTCCTAATAATCCTTTAGGTGATCCTTTTTTTTTTTTTTTTACTTATTTAAATAAAATACTTCTATTACTAATTATTTTATATTATTTGATTAAAAAAGGTTTATCAAATATAAATCAGGTAACGAAGATCATAGACATATACAATAAGCTATACTTGAAATTATGAGATTGTACGTGTATAAATATAATTTATGAATGAGTGTACATGTTTGTTAAATAATGAAATATATACATACAGAAAGAAATGCCTTTGTAATCATATTGTATATTTAAAATGGATCTAAAATATCTAATAAACAATTCTTATTTTGAATTTGGTTCAGTTTGTTTAATGGTAACCATAGTAACAACATGAAATATTAATAAATAAATAAAAATTGGTTCCTGGAGGCACCCAAAACGGTTCCACACAGTGCCTATATATAAGAGTTCCTCAGGAAACCTGTGTGGTTCCCGAGAACCGCCCCTTTTCTAAGGGTTCCTAGAGGATCTACAGACTGTTCCGCCGGTGTGGCAAAGTGAAGAACCCCAAAAGGTTCCTCCAGGCACCTTTTATTTTCACAGTGTCCATACTCGAAGAGCAATGTTTTTATCTTACAGTAAAGTGAAAATGAATTTTTTTCTCGACGTTATGTTTATGGAAAAATGCATATGTGCTCTATAACAAAACTATCTCCTATTTCAGCAAACAAAGTAAGACAGATCAAGCTAAAAGAGGCCACTTCATTTATATTTTTTAACCTCCCATCACCAATCCAGCCATCATGGTTTCTAGTCAATCCGTCATCCGACGGCTGTTCCTCGCTTATTTGCTTCTTTTGGGGAGTACTCTTGGTTCGGGATAAATTCCGGGCTCAGAGTCCTCCCATTAGACTGCACGCCAAATAGGCCTATCTTGCCTCTATCAGATGTGAACTTGTGAATTTAGAGTGTAAATAAATTTGTCTCTTGTCTTTGTGCAGACAGAAGGAAGAGCTAAAAAAAAGTCTAGAAAATTTTCGTCTAAGTATTCCAGATGTTACACACCTCAGGATCCTGGTAGCTGGGCAAATTGGAGCAGGGAAGTCCAGCTTCATTAACTCTGTCAATAGTGCCTTTTAAGGAGAAATGGTCTGTGAAGCAATACCTGATAATTCACAATCAACCGTGAGTCATAGTTTCACGAAAAGAGTAGGTATTAGGCCTTTTTGACTCCTATTGCACTCACATGAAATAAACATGATCTTAAAGCTAAGAAAATGAAGCTGCTAAGATAAGAATAATGCTAAGAATTTGCTATAAGGAAATATAGACAAATCACCAACTGAACAAGACAAGATCTGTTTAAAATCAAAAGCATTGAAAATATTTTGGCAATGTGTGTGATATTTACAAATGTTTATGGTGCCATTTTCTTGGTCTTTGTTTATAGCTGAACACATACCGCATCAGAAATGCAGATGCAGATTTGCCTTTTGAAATCTGTGACGTAATGGGCTTAGAACCTGATAAATTATCTGTGTGTCAACCTGATGACATTGTCAAAACCATATTTGGCCATGTGAAGGAGGGATATACAGTAAGACATTAATTTAATTAAAAATCAACATTTAAATGTGTGCAATATCTCTCACATTTTTATATTTTGTCTTTATTTAACAAAACTAGTTGTTAGGAAAAGCCACTCTCTAACGAGGATGAACATTACAAGGAAACCCCTTCACTGTCGGATCAAGCTTTCTGCCTGGTTTACATCATTGATGGAAGTAGAATCCAACTCTCTGCAGGCAATAAGATATTTACTGAGAAGCTAAGGATCATCCGCCAGAAAATCAGTGATAATGGTAAAACTTTGAATGAATTTTATCTTTATTATTTAACCACAACACTGTATAAAAGCGTCTACAGTCCCAGAAACTATTTAGCATATGTGCATATATGAATATTTGATCTCCATTTCATTAATATAAAGGTACTGTTTTTAAGTTAACCAATACAAATGTAACATTTGCCATTTGCTGTTGTTTTTTTTTTTTTTTTTTTTAAATGAGAGAAACTGAAAACATATGAATATATTAAATCATTCAGATTAAAATCATTTAGACTTTCACGTTGTAGGGATTCCTCAAGTGATTGTCATGACCAAAATAGATGAAGCATGTCCGCTGGTCAACAAGGATCTGAAGAAGGTCTACACTAGCAAGATCATCAAAGAGAGGGTAAACCATTCATTCAAACAAACATCTATGCATGTTACATGTTCTAGTTCTGTAGTTTTTCAAACAATTTTACATTCTGCTCCTGTCCAGATGGAGTTCTGCAAAAACATTGTGGGCGTGCCAATGAACAGTATCTTTCCAGTGAAGAACTACCATGATGAGATTGACCCAGATGACCTTGTTGATGTTTTGATTCTCAAGGCATTTGAACAGATTGTGCGTTTTGCTAATGCAAGACTGAGGAGGGGTGCTTCAAACGAATGAGAAATTCACAAGTTGGAAGACCAGAGAATGTTGTAACTTGCATGGGCAGAGCATTTAAACTGTAATAATATAAAGGATTTTTAGGAAAAGAACATAAAGTTTTTTTCCTTACAGTTGAATGAATGTTAAATTACCAAACTAGTATTATCATCTGAATCAGCATGTTCTCTTATTTAATTTAATATAGGCTACCATGTACTCACACACACACACACACACACACACACACACACACACACACACACACACACACACACACACACACACACACACACACACACACACACACACACACACACACACACACACACACACACACACACACACACACACACACACACTAGTATCGTTGTGGCTGTGTAGATGGTGATGACGTACCATTTTACTTCTAAAAGACATTCCATTTACAACGTGATACAGGTTATAGCCAACATTTGACAATGGTAAAAATATGTATTTGTGTAATGCTCCTTGGTTTTCAAGCAAGATGTAAAATAGCTCTTCCTGCTACTTGGAAATAAACACTTGTTGTTGGCAACTATTCTTTTTGTATAGTCTTCTTCTGTGTAATGGTAATTGCTTGGTAGTCTGTGTTGGTGTCTTTTGGGGTCCATCTGTATTTTAATGCAAAGAGCCAGGCCAACCAGCAGAGGGCACGTATGAGCTTGAAACAGTTTATTACGCTGGTGGATGTCGCAAAGAAGAGCGTATATAAAAGCCGTGGTTCAACACTCGTCCTGTCTCTTTCCTCAGACAACGTTTGTGTGATCAAGAAGTTTCGGTGAAACATGTGCGTTTCTTCAGAAACCCGCTTTGTGTTTGCAAGCGTGTAAGTATTGTTTTTTTCTTTTTTTTTTTGAATCCCAATACTAGCGTAAGTTTGCGATATTAGCTTAAGACCCACCTTTATCTGCATTTATGATTTGACACTATCAACGTTTCCATTGACTTTATTGTGTGTAATGTACATTGAACCCCTAAATCTCCCTCCAGGTTTTCGTTGAGGGCTTGAATAGGGTTTATGAACTATCTTTGTTTTCCGGTTGTAGAGTCTCCAGTCTGAATCATGTTGGGAGAACAGGAACACGTGGACTTGGATGATGTTCGCCATTGGCGTTTGAACGAGTAGAACATCTGCATTTGATGCATTGATTCTAAATCGCGATGAATGCGATCAAGCAATTGCGGTAAGTGAACCTTAGACAATAGATTCTGATATATGCACTCATTTTGAGTAAAATGATTGTTGAGCCGTTGATGACTTCTATTACTTTTCTGACACCTCGTATGAACGCTGTATTCAGCAGCTGATTATACAATCTAGTCTGAGGCTCTTGCTTAATACATGTGACTTATTTTAGGTTTCCCACATTGCACTGGTGTTTTATGCATTTGTAGTGAATGTTTAGTGGGAAAGATACTACTATTCTAGTAGTTTATTACAAAAAAATGTTCCTTGTTAAAATCATTCAAAGTGCGTGTATATTAATCTGGTTCTAGCTTGACCCACCTTTATCTGCATTAATGTGACACTTTGAGTGACACTATCAATGTTTCATTGACTTTATTTCTTGTACATTTCATTAAATCCTTAAATCTCCCGCCAGGTTTTCGTTTGAGGGCTTGAATTGGGTTTACACTTGAACCGCATATGAACTTCTTTGTTTTCCGGTTGTGGTGTCTCCAGTCTGAATCATGTTGGGAGAACAAACACGTGGACTTGGAGGATGTTCGCCTTTGAACGAGTAGAACATCTGCATTTGATGCATTCATTCTAAATCGCGATGAATGCGATCAAGAGGTTACGGTAAGTGAAACTTAGACAATGGGCTCTGATATGCATTTTTTTTAATAAAAATTGAGCCGTTGATGACTTCAATTACTTTTCTGACACCTCGTATGAACGCTGTATTCAGCAGCTGATTATACAATCTAGTCTGAGGCTCTTGCATGCCACTTATTTTAGGGTTCCCACTTTTTATTTATTTTTATATATAAATATGCATTTGTAGTAAATGTTTGGTGGGGAAGATGCTATTCTGTGAGTAACTTGTAGGCTTTTTTATTTAAAAACATTTCAAACCTTAATCGTTCGAGATCCCTCGTTTAAAATAATTTAAAGTGCTTGTATACTAATGTGGTTCTATAACTAGAAAAGATTGGGACATACCGGTAATGTATTTGCGAACAAGTCCCCAGTCATATAAATTGTATTAATATCTGGGAAGCACGTGACAAGTCAATCTATTAGTTGAAGTGTGTGAACTCTTCCTTTTGTAAGTTTGTTGCTTTGCATTTAATGTATGGCTGTTTCAGCTACTAAGATAGCTTTACTTTCACTGATGGTTAGAATGTTGAAGCTCCTTAATGCAAAAATGTGGTGGTGTGAGGTCAGACCACTTCATTTTTCCAATATTGCAATTTATTTATTTTTGTGTGAATAGGTGGTTGACTGGTCGATGATTGTGTCTGATCGTAAAGTCTCCCTGAGCAGTTAAACTCCATACTATGATCTCTCTGGACTGGTTGAGGCTGCAAGGCATGGCCAGCTCAATGTACACTTGGATATGATGCAGCTATACATCCTTTCTACACTTTATTTGCGAATGTGAGGTCCAAGAAATCTTCTGGTGGCATACAGTTTGGAATCCAATCTCCTGTTTATGCATGGATGTCACTGGAAATTAATGCATTTTTGAAACCCTACATATACCATTATGTACTTCAAATACATGTTTGGATGCATTTCTTTGTTTCAATAAAAGTGTGAACAAAACCTTGACTTTTTTTTTCCCTTAACCCCTTTGTATCAGTCTAGTTTCTATTATAAAAAATAAAAGTAATAGGCGGTTTCTATAAGCTCAAGTTTAGGACACAATAATAAAATTGATCAATTGAGGTCTAATACGTCATGAAGCCTTTTTAAAACTGAGAAATGCTTGAACCTAATATTGCATAAGTCCAATATCCTGCGTGATCTAGATGATCTGATGGATGATACATCGAATAAACACCATCCTAGACTGATCCACTCTAGGTATTTCTGACGACAGGAAGACCGGGTTCCTGAGAGACCGTTACATGCTCTCTACTTCCGGATTATTGCTCATAATGATCGCTTCGTTGTGTAGTTCAACACCCGAATGATGTTTCAGAGAGAACGTTAATGCATTCGTGTGTCGCTGAATGACGAGCTCTGAACTGAATCTACGACGTTTTTATGTAGACTCGCGCAACTGTTGGATTTCACGCGTTTAAATGAAACTTATAAGGTGAGTAACGTTAAATGTGGCGACGCTGGAGATGATCGAAAATAGAGAAATACGCTTAAATTAGCGACTGTTCTGAATAGAGAGGGGAGGGTATTGTCAATGCTGTCGTTTTTCTGTCTAGCTGTCTTTTGTGATGTGACACCCACGCGCCACAAAGAAAAGCTACTCGTTTACGTGGGTAATAAAAAATGTTTATCTTTAAACCTGTGCATGTCGATTCTTGAAAGTTACGTTGTACTGTTAAAATGATGGTCAGAACCTACCGACTAGTGTTCGATGCTCCCTGAAAAGATTTGCGTGCTGCCTGACTGATGTTTATGGGAGTGGTAGAAAAATACGGTGTTTTAATGCTTGTTTGCGTGAATTGTGAGCATTTTTCAGATTGACTTAACGTAAACCGGGAGCATGTAGAGCTCTCGGGGATTCATTGCCGTCTACGAACAGTTGACATCTGGATCTGTTCGGTTCATTATCCGTGGCTTCGTGAGGATATGTGCTGCTGATAGCAGTGCTAATGGGAAGAGAACACATTTTGAGTGATGCTGGAATGGCTCTTACCGTACGGTTTCAAGTAGTGTTGTAGGCTCTATTAATATTGTTTGGCTTCATGACGTAACTAATTTCCCTCCAAAATCTTATGAATTATTAAAAATACATTGATAATTTAACTAATACGGACAGCCTCTTGGATTCATTCCCTACTAATACCAGGAACATGTTTTAAATTTCTAAAATAAATAAATAATGTATTTTATTTTATGGGGCTTACAGTATCACTCTCCAGAAATTATAAACAAGAAAAAATAAAAGGCTGAAATTCTTGAAAAAAGTAGTCCAAATAGTTTTTTTTTTTTTTTTTTTTGTCTTTTTAAAAATATTCTTAATATTTCAGAAACCTTTGTCTAAAATTTCACTGTGGCATAAACAGCAGAGGACAATGACTGTGTCAATGGTATTTTTTTAAAATATAGGCCTAGTATTTTGGATGCTTTTATGAAAATGACATGTTTTGTTGAAATTCATTTTTTTTTTTTTATTTTTTTTTTTTTACAACAGTTTCTTCAGTGTTTTCAACAAAATAATGAGCCAACATCACTAAGATTATCAACAGGATTTCTTTTTCTTTTTTTTTTGTGGGGTGCATGATTTTTAGTAAGTGTTGACCATTATAATGAATACTAGAACACATTTATTTAGGCCGTGTTATTTGGGTTACTAACATTAGAAATTAGGACAGATGTGGGTTATATGCCTTGAACTAGATGTGGTCATTAAGAAACAACCATTGCTACAACCATAACCATAACTTAGCCAGTCAAATCAGTTTTGTTTGACCTGATTTCAAATGGCTTATTTAAGTCTTTATTAACCGTCATGAGGCTGCTGTGTGGTCAACAAATCTGTTCTTATTGCTTTTTGTTCTAGCAAATATCTGCTCCATCAATCTCATTTTTGAATTCAACTCCTCTGAACATAAACATTTAGGAAAATTATGTAATACTCTTATCATCCTTCCAAGTAATGTGCAGTAATTTATACCAAATGACTATTGAATTGACACATAATGTCAGTATCTGCATCATATTTCTAAGTTTAGCTATTTGGCAGCAAAACTATAACGTAAACTAATGGTCTTGAATTCAAAGTGTCACTTTTGTGGTACAAAAGAAGAAGAAAAGAAACCACACACAGCCTCATTCCTTTTCCGTCACAGTCTCATGTTTCCATGCCAACAGTGACATCAGCACTGCAGGGATGTGTGTAAGGATGAAAGACTCCTCTGCTGTGGTTCTCCATGGTTACCATCCACTGCCAGCCAACTGCAAAAGTTATTATCAGTCACATGATCATTTGACCTATATGGTGATTAACTCATCAGCAACTATAATAAAACAATGCAATAATGCATTTGCTAAAGAAAATGGTAACTCTTTTGTTTAGGGTCATTTACATGAGGCTAGGATATTAGATATTGGCTGTTTAGTACTTGTAAAGCACATATTTAATGCCTTTTTCTGCATGACCATATTCTACATCCCATAATCATACCCAATAACTATTAATAAGCCGTAAGGAGTTTATTGAGGCAAATTTGTATTGAAATCTCATTGAAAAAGGCTAATTTTTATTTTCATGCTGTGCAACATGTCTGTATAGGAGTGAGTGAAATACAGTATGTGGTGACATTTATGGTGTATGTTACTGACTATAACAGTAACAGTAGCCTATGTTGAGTTACAGAATTGTTTATTTAATCAAAACATTTAGTAGAAACCACCAGTTTAAAAGAATTAACTTTGTTAAACAAAATTCAAACTCAAATGTCAAGGGCATCATTACCCTAGCTTTAGGTAAGCAGGTAGGTAATAGTATGTTATGTATTTCTTTTTCAGTGTATAAGTAATTAGCTTTACCTGATCCTGCATTTTCTAACTCTTTCTTTTTGTTTTTAGATTTATGAACAATCGTGTACCATCTAACAAGAGATATCAGCCAACAGAATATGAGCACGCTGCTAACTGTGCCACACATGCGGTGAGTTGTGTGTTTAGAATAAGAATAAGCTAGAATAGGGAGGGATTAAGGAATCCCTGTAGTAGTGCAGTAATCGGTTTCTGAGAAACGCTGTTGAAAGTAAAACGGACCGAGCACCAAAACACACTTGCAGCTAATCAGGAGTAAGGGATGTATACACTCATGATGCCTGTGTTGCAGTGTGTTTGTGAATTTAGGGGTGGAGCTATCAAGATAGGGGTGTGAATCTTTTGGGTAGGGGCGTGCTTGTTTTAGTGATTTCAAATATCAACAGTGTTTTTTCAGAAATCGCTTACTGCACTTTTAAATTATGTTTTATTAACAAAGTTCAGGATGAGCACATTCAGATAATCAACCTAATTAGCACGAGAGGAGGCATATATATAGCCGACCTACCTCTATCCCATGACAGTTTTCCAGCATCCCTTCACCACCTCAACTCCTCAATCTTAAATATTTCCTATCTCAACCAGGGATGGGGGAGTACTCTGGGTTCGTGCCAAATCCAGCACGCCAAATATGCATACTTTTACTATATCCGATTATATGTGAGGGAGGGTGACAGAATGTAGTGCTCATTGAAGAGTTTTCAGCTGTTTCTTGACAATTGTCAGGGATTTGGCTGTCCAGTAAAGTCAAGACACTTTTATTTATATAGCCCTTTATACAATATAGATTGTTCAAAGCAGCTTTAAAGTGATAACAGGCAAATCATGCATTTTGGTTGTTGTTCTGCTGAAGTCAGTTCAGTTCAGTTAATTTAATCTATAAAGCAGTTCTGCAAAAAGTTCTGTCATTGTCCAGCTCAGTTCAGTTCTCATACAACAGCGTCAGTACAGTCAGATCAATAATATTGTTGATTATTAAGTGTCCCCAACTAAGCAAGCCATATGCGACAGTGGCAAGGAACCCAAACTCTATTAGGTGACAGAATGGAGAAAAAAAAACTTGGGAGAAACCACGCTCAGGCCAGTGCTCCTCTGGCCAACGAACGAACACAGTGTGATTATGATTCAGGCTGCCTCACAAGTCAGAATTCAGATCGGGATCGGTAGCATTCAAATATTCATCCCGTTCCTTTTGCTTGAAGATCGGATTCATCACGCCAATATGGAGCCAATTCTGGCCATAGGGTCTGTGCGGAGGTCCTGTCTGGTTCTTGTGGTCTTTGCTGAGGATCTGTGCTGATGGCTGTCATGTCGACGAGGCCTTCACAGGGGATTGTCTAGTAGACACGGTCTCTGCTGACATTCAGGGCTGCGTTTTGGTCGTGTCTACAGTAGGTGCAGGTCCACCATCTGATCTGGATATGGACCGGATCCAGCTGACTACGGTAACTTTGGGATAAGGATGAGACAAACACTAATATTAGCGTATTTGCCATTCTTACAATGTAACAAGTACATCGGGTGTTATAGAAAATGTTCCTGTTTCGTATTGACCTAATTTATGCAGCCTACAAATCTTTTAATTGATTTGAATAGAAATAGAATAGAAATTGATCATGTGGTATGTATGCCAGGTTAAAGAGACGTGTTTTTAGTCTAGATTTAAACTGACAGAATGTGTCTGCTTCCCGAACAATGCTAGGAAGACTATTCCAGAGTTTGGGTGCTAAATAAAAAAATGATCTGACTCCTGCCGTTGATTTTGATATTGTAGGTGGCCATTATCAGCCATTATGATATTATCAGCTGGCCAGAATTGTGAGATCGCAATAGACGTGAAGGACTCTAATCCGTTAAGATCTCACTAAAGTACTGCGGAGCCAAACCATTTAGTGCTTAGTAAGTAATCAGCCAGATTTTAAAATGTATGCAATGTTTAGTAGGGAGCCAGCCAATGCTAACAGAACCGGGCTAATATGGTCATACTTCCTGTTTCTAGAAAGAACACTAGTCCATTTTTGACCAGAGTTTGTTTATTAAGTGTGCAGAGCAACCACCCAGTAGACCATTATAATCTAGCCTTGAGGTCATGAACACTGAACTAAATTTACTGCATTTGTCATTGAGAACATATGTCGTAATTTAAATATATATTTTTAAGACGGAAAAATGTTTTACAGGTGCTAGAAATGTGGCTTTCAAATGAATAGGTTTGGGAAAATCCTTCCACTAATAAGGAACAGTGAACAAAAACGTTCTTGAGATTAATTGTGTGCTTCTCTGTGATGGTACCATGCAATGTTCACTTACAGACCAGAAGCTCCTTGAAGGCACATCTCTCGTAAGAGAGAGTGGATGTTGGAAGGTGCGGCGCTCGTGGCCGTCCTCTAGGCAAGCACCAATGTCGTGAATTTGATGCGAGCCACAACCGGACGCCAGTGCAGAGAGATAAACAGTGGTGTGACGTGGGCTTGTTAAAGACAAAATGAGCTGCTGCATTCTGGATCATTTGTAGGGGTTTAATTGCACATGTTGGAATTCCAGCCAGAGCATTGCAGTAGTCCAGCCTAGAAATGACAGGCCCTGTGTGAGAAGTTGTGTTGCATGCTCAGTTAGGAAAAGCCTGATCTTCCTTGTGTTGTACTGTGCAAACTTACATGATCGTGCTGTAGTAGCAATGTGTTTTTGAAGGTCAGCTGGTCATTAAAGATTACCCCAAGAGTCCTGGCCGAACTTGATGTGATTATTGTCGTTGAGGTCACCGTGATTTTGCCAAGTAAGACATGGTCCTGGATCAACATATTTTGTTGATCCTGGATCAACATTCCTGTCCCAAAATGTAGTCCTTACCCAATCCCTACCCCTAAACCTAACCCTACCCATAACTTTTCCCTAAAATCAGAGGGTAATGAAAGGTGAATAACACTGTACTTCACTCTGGTTGTAAGCCTAAACTTGACATAAACTGTAAACTTGTCCCTCAAATCTGATTGGTTGATTGGAAAGTTGATCCAGGAGGATCAACAAAGATGTTGATCCAGGAACATGTGGTACTTGGTGAAATCACGTTCACCTTGTTGTTGAACCTAGCTGGATAATAAAGTTGTGCTGTACTGACGGGGTGGCTGGGAAGACAAGAAGCTCTGTCTTTGCTAAGTTGAGTTGTAGGTAATGTTCTTTCATCAATCCGCCAGGCAGTCTGAGATCCATGCAGCTGCCTTGGGATCATCTGGTTGAAATGAAAAGAATAGCTGTGTGGAGAAATCATGTGCCTGTATAATGAGTCCCAGTGATGTAGTGTAAATGGAGAAGAGGAGAGGTCCATACTTGATCATGAGTATATACATATATACAATAAATCAATGCCATACATTTGTTTTGAAATTATTTCCTATAGCTTAAAGTCTGCACATATTGTTCTATTTAAATAATCTGTGACTATTTTTTATTCTCAGCTCTGGATCATTCCCAGCATTGTGGGTGGGATCTTGTTGTACCTCTTATCTGATGACCACTGGGAGGCGATTTCAGCATGGCTTTATGGGGCGGGACTATCAAGTCTTTTCATCATATCCACAGTTTTCCATACTGTCTCCTGGAAAAAGAGTCATCTCCGGTAAGACTTTCGTATGAGCTAAATCAGCTTTTTGATCAGGACATTGTTCAGTTTGTGTACTGGGAATTCAGTCACTTGAACATGAATGTTTATCTAGTGAGTTGCAAGGGATTTTGTTTTCATTTTTTAAAATCCAGCTAGTGTAGCTTGAATAATCTTTTAGGCCTATATTAAGATAATCCATCTTAATATTTATTTACACATGTGCTTGAGAAGTGATATCTTACTTTACTCTTTAGATCGGTTGAACACTGTTTCCACATGTGCGACAGGATGGTGATCTATTTCTTCATTGCTGCATCCTACACACCATGGTGAGCTCATGTACAGAGTGAATGTTGTTTATGCATCAATTTAAGAAATTAGTTTTAAGTCTGCATTAGGGATTAATGGCTTTGTGTTTGGCTTTCATAAATTGACACAGTTAGAAGTGCAGGTTGGTAGTTAGGGCTACGTTCACACTGTCAGTTTTTGGGATTGTCAACCGCATTTACTTACAGGCATGAGTACCGTGTGTTACAAGCTCATATCTCTGTCGCTGTAAGTTACCGAAACCACCAACATACAGTAGATGCCCGTTTGTGCAGCACAGAGCGGCTCTCTTGGACTGTGACGTGACAGAGTAGTTGTCCAGTCCAGTTGTGTTCATCTCTTTTGTCCACTTTTAACCACTTCTGTCCTGATTTCTTCGAGGGGAGGGTCTATACTCTATAGGCTGGTAAATGTATGGACTTTTTCAGATCTTTCAATGTAATGAACAAAATTAGCTCACACAACTTAAATATGAACATGACCATGGAAAACAGAAAAACATACGGAGAGCAATAGGTAGCTTTCGTTTCTGCTCTGACAGCCGCAAGACCATGCCTGAACACGCAGTGAGTGTGTGTTAGAGATCAGGAATGGTGAGAGAACATTGTGCTTGGTACGTTTTTCGTCTTTAAACCAAACTTAAATTAAATACTTAAATCCTGTCTGGCTAGCGCGCTTCCCATAATGTTTATGCATTAAGACGGTGAGCGAGCGGTCTTTTGCGGCTGTTCGAACACATTCGACCACATGAGTGTCTATACTACGAAAGCAATCTGGTCAAATGAGTTTTCAACTACCTCTGGAAGTGGTTGAAGATGGACAAGCTCAAAAAAAATTTGGACCCCATTTACACCTGTATTTAGCGTTGTCTACTTGTGTTCCAATCAACCAAAACGTATCTTAATACCAGGTGTAAACAAGGCCTGACATCTGTATTCTGCTGCTGTGCGAATGTGGCCATGAAGACCAAGGGTTCAAATGTGCCAATCCTTTTTAGTTTGTTTCCACTAAGATGTGTGAATCTGTTTTTAGCAGAAATACTGATGGTGCCTCTGTTAACACAGAATTTTTTCCTTATTTTGGAGCACTATTAATTCAATAAAAGGATGTGTTGCTTAAAGTCACAAAAAAATCTATTCTTATTTTTTTATGGAATATTCCAGTATTTATTATAAATTGTATGATTTCTCTTCTCTGATGACGTGTTTAATGGCGCGAATTTACTGGACCTACATTTTCTCCTGTTCAAGAACCTGTTTCACTCTGATATACACAGATTTTTTTTAAATTTCATTTCAAGTCAAACAAGTATTCCGAGAAATAGCGATCATTTTCTGAAGTATGTTAAACTGATACAACTGAAAACAATTCTCAGTCCAATTCACATTTTATTCAACAGACATGTTTAGTTGTAGCAATTAAAATAATGTACTTGTTTTGATCAATTACAAAGTAGCCAGATGTTTAATTAGTCTTTTCAGTGCTTTGAGTATAGTTGTTTTCCTATTTGTGACCCAGCTGCATAGCCTTGAGTTATGAATCTCAATTGTTTATTTTACCCAAATGGATTTATAGTGGATTCTGAATGAACATTTAGTATTTATATTCCCTGGGAATCAAACTGTGAGACTTCCACAGATAGTTGGTGTCCTAAGCACCATTAATTAAGGATGTAATGGCTTTATGGCAGGCTGACGCTGCGGGAGCTTGGTCCATGGGCTGCCCACATGCGTTGGGTTGTCTGGGTGATGGCCACTGTAGGAACTGCCTATGTATTCTTTTTCCATGAAAGGTGAGCACGTGTTTGACAAATGACAAGTGTTTAATTCTACTTACATTTTCACTTTGGTACGTTTTCCGTGCTACATGTGTTTCTTGTGTCCTTTGTGTTACAGGTTTAAAGTTGTAGAGCTGATTTGTTACATAGCAATGGGTGTTTTTCCCGCCCTTGTCATCCTCTCTATGGTAAGAAAATGAATGCTTTCAGTTGAAAGTGTCATGACAGATTAATTCAAACTAAATGAAATGTCTGTCTGTTTTCCTTATAGGCAGACAGTTCAGGTCTGTGTGAGCTGCTGGTTGGTGGCGGGTGTTATGTGTTGGGCATTGTGTTCTTTAAAAGTGATGGAATAGTGCCCTTTGCTCACGCTATATGGCATCTCTTTGTTGCAATGGGAGCAAGCATCCATTACTATGCCATCTGGAAGTACCTGTACACACCTCTCAATCAACCAACCAGTACGGCCCGGTGACACACCTATGCATACACCTAACCACAAATCATTTGAATATATATTTGCCACTAAAGTGCTAAAATTCTACTAAAGCATAAATAATATTGTTTTTTTTTCTTTCTCTTGTGTTTTTGCTAGCGAACAGTTTGACTGATGTAACTCTTGTCACTTATTAATAGGTCTTTAACTAGCACAGAAATTACAACTAGCCTTTGTGAGACTACAGACAGCAGGGGTCATTTTGGACCTGAAGCCGTGTGCAATCCTGAGACTGATAAAGGATCCAGAACATGAACATTTCTGGAAAAGTCTATGGACGTATTACATGACGGTTTACAATTTTTTAAAAGGTATATACTGAGCAAATGTAAAATCACTGCCAGATATTTGTAAAAACACTCATCCTGGATAGTAATTACTTGACTACAGTTTAAAGGTATTTCTGTAGTGTTTTTTTTTAATTGATGTAAGATTATTCTGCCAATTCTGCCACTGCCAGTGGGGAGATATTCTTATTTCTGTCAGAAATATGAGTACATTTTGTATTACTGTACACAGTATCGATTCTCCATGCTTCTAGTCTAGTGCAAGTTTGTTGCATTTTTGGATGTGTAATGTCTTTGGAAAATGCCATAAGTGCTTGATGACAATGTCCAGGGAAAGATTTGCTTAAAGATTTCATGGCTTAAAGATAAGTTTAGGGTTTTTCGACTCATACCACATTATGATTGTGTTTAAATTTGTCTTTCAGATTTAAAATATGCTTAATTTGATTTACTAAAATTAATCAACTCGACTACAATAGGGTTTCAGCAACAACAACAAAATGTAGGGGTTAGGTCACAGCTCACTGTTTCATTCTTCATTCATTGTTACATCGTTCGTATCACTGTTTATGCAAGCGCTGAGGAAGCCTACAAAGCTGAAATTCAATAATAGGCGTTTCGTTTCAGACATGTGCTGTAAGCTATTGACCAATCACAACAGACTGGGTCGTCTGAATTTTTTTTAAATTTTGGATGCATGTAAATCTATTGAAGGAGACCCCCAAAACAAAATTAGGAACCTTTAAAATAGCATAATAGTGGCACTTTAAAGGCTTTTTCCCATTTTACTGCACTCAATTCCAGTGAAAATCTGAAAATAAAGAGTTTTATTTTTTTTATTTAATTATTTATGTAAACTTTCAGCTGTTGTAGATATTATATTACGAATCATTTTGTAGTAGTGCTTAGCTATTTGCCTCCATCATTTAAAGGTTTCATGAACATGAGTAAAAATTACACAGATTTACACCTCAGATTATTTTGATCTCTTTCAACTCAATTAAGGAACAGTTACCCAAAAACTGAAAATTCTGTCATCATTTAGGCCCTGTTTACGCCTGGTGTTAAGATATTTTTGGTTGATCAGATTGTAAGAAGACGAGGGTCCTGTTTTTTTATCTCTCTTTTGTCCACTTTCAACCACTTCTGTCCTGATTTCGACAGAAAAACAAGTTCGGAGACGACAGAAAAACAAATAGAGAGCAACAGCTTTCGTTTCTGCTCTGACAGCCGCAAGACCACGCTGAACGATGAGAGTGTGTGTTAGAAATCAGGAATGGTGAGAGAACATTGTGCTAGGTACGTTTTTCGTCTTCAAACCAAACTTGGGTCTTCAGCCGACAAAGTTTAAATCCCGTCTGGCTAGCGCGCTTCCCATAATGTTTACGCATTAGGTCAGTTGGCGGAGAGTAAGTGGTCTTGCGATCTGATCAATCTGTTCGAACACATTGGACCAAATGAACGTTTACACTACGAAAATAATCCGGTCAAATGCGTTTTTGACTACCTCTAGAAGTGGTTGAAAGTGGACAAGCTCAAAACGTTTTAGACCCAGTTTACACCTGTATTTAGCGTTGTCCACTTGTGTTCTGATCTACCAAAACGCATCTTAATACCAGGTGTAAACAGGGCCTTAGTTCCAAACTGGTATGTTGTTGTCTTTCTTCTGTAGATTACTAAATTAAGATTTTTAAGTCTAAACTTCAAGGGCTGTTCCGACTTCATAAATAAATAAAACTGCAACAATAAAATACCATAAAAAGGTTCCTCATTTTTTGTTCTATGCAAGAAAGAAAATCATAGCGGTTCGGAACAACATGAGGGTGTAAATAATGGCAGAATTTTAATTTTTGGATGAATTATAAGACACATTTAGCACACTTTTGTGTGTTTTTAGTACCATCTCAGCTTCAACATCTGATTACCAATGGCCAAGGTTTGTAAATTAGCCGTCTTTTCCATTGGACTGATCAGCCAAAGCTTTTCCTCTCAGGGTTGCTAAATCACTGGCTGGTAGCATTCCATTTTTGTTGCGCTCCCTTAGCCCATTCATATTTTAATAACATTTTAACGTTCAAAATAAATTGAACATTGTATTATTGTCATGTTGATCAGGGCTAATAGGTGATCAGGGGCACTCTTGCTGTCACAACCACAGATTGTCAAGTAAAATTAAACATAGGCACGCTTACACAAAAACAGTCTGTAGTTTTAATTTCTCCAACTAATAAACTAAAGTCTATTAAAAAAGTATTTAAATTTGTATGGCCTTTACAATAACGTAACAGAATTTTTCCCAAAATGTGCATTTGTTATTGTTTTACATCTTAAAGAACTGATATTTAATGTATTATGAATATAGAAAGTGTTTAGTCAATAGTTGTATTCCACATGTACATAATCATATTTAGCTATAAATGCATTATAATGTTGATATTTATGTTTGCTGTGTTAAGATTATACATTTCATAAGGATTTCATTAGTGGGTTTTTGGAAAAGTATTTTTTTTTTTTAAGTTTTATTTCATGATGAGTGAATTTCAGCTGAAATGTGTATGCTATTGAAACACATCGCCTTAGTCAGTGAAGATTTACGCTTTTAGTGGACCAACAAGGTGAACGTGATTTCACCGAGTACGACGCGTTCCTAGATCAACATCATTGTTGGTCCTGGAACAACATTCAAATCAACCAATCAGATTTGAAGGACAAGTTTACAGTTTATGTCAAGTTTAGGCTTACAACCAGGTGCTTTCTACATCAATGTTATTCACATTCATTCAACAAAATATGTTGATCCAGGAACATGTCTTGCTTGGTGAAATCACTGTGACCTTGCAAACACGCTGTCAGGTACATTTCTGCACCCTTACAGGGTTTTAGTTGAAAGTAAGGGCTGTTTGTGACTTAAGGTTTCAGTTTGAACTCGAAATTGCTTCTGCTCTCATTTTTTTTTGCTTTACCGAGACTTATGAGTTGCACTGACAATGTAATTTTCTGTAAATATATGAGACCCTAAGGATATTTTATTAACCAAGTATTGATGTTACGGATGATGTTCAGTTCTAATGTTCAGTATAATATCTAAATCTAAATTCTTTTTAACACAATTGTAGAACGAGTTTAACTGTTTCTAAATGATTTTAAAATGTGTTAATGACTTTTGTTCATTAAGTATTCCCTGCTTTTGTCATTTTTGACTGCTTTTTTCAAATCTTTGTTTGGTGTATTCTGCTTTATGACAAATGTGTTTACTATGAAGGAGCAGTCACAGTTTACATCCACCATACAGCTTTCACTGCCACTCAGCCTGAGATTATACATTTAGATTTTCTTTGACCTTGAATGAAAACAACACTATTTATTATAACTTATTAGCGTGTGCATACTGAATGTACAAAAGTCTCCTTCCTCTCACTTTTGAGTCACTGGAATATGCTGGATGGCAGATGCTTGATCAATGCTGTGATTAATTATGGTGTTTTAAGTTAACATGTTGAAATGATAGAAAGCTTATAGTTTACCTTTGACTCAAAGCTAACCGAAAATGGACAAACCAAAATAGTTATCACACAATGTAATGCTATTTTGCCCTGACAAATCTTTCTTAAAGGGATAGTTCACCCATTTTTTAAAATTTTGTCATCATTTACTCACCCAAACCTGTATGCATTTCTTTCTTCTGCTGAACAGAGGAAAACATTTTGAAGAATGTGGGTAACTAAACCGCAGTACGAAAAAAAAAAGTCAATGGCTACCATGAAATGTTTGGTTACCCATATTCTTCTAAATATTTTCCTCTGTTCAGCAGAAGAAAGAAATGCTTAGAGGTTTGAAACAACACAAGTAAATGATGACATAATTTTCATTTTTGTGTGAACTAAACCTTTAAATAATGTAGAATTTAGTGTAGTCTGTTCATATCTGACACCAAACTTCACAAAACATCAGGCTGCCTACCTGTCATTAATTGGGGAGAATTATGAAGAATATGAATTCAGTAAAATGACTGAATCCTCTATTTAAACTGAATCCACTTGAAACCTAACCCTGACCTCGCTGTAAATATCATTTGTGCCTTTTCTAGTTTGGGTGTGTTTCGGAACAGTTCAAGGCTTTGTGTTGTTGGCCATTCTGCATATAAAAATGTCTTTTGAAGCTTTCACATGAAGGTATTTGTGATTGTGATTTCGCTGCAACGTTTGTATTGCCCCAGTTTTTGTATTTGTATTAAGACCATGTTATTTCATATTCCAATGCTTTTTATCAAGGAAACTTCCTTCTCTCTGAAGCATCATTTGAGTCCTGCATTCTATGCATTTTGTATGTCTGTGGGTTAATCAATAAACACAAAGAATAAACACCATTTTGAACCCAATTATTCATTCATTTATTGCTTTATTTACTGAAATTGCAATTAATGTTAAATACAGTGATGCTGCAGGACAATTTTCACATTTTAACTAAAATGTTCTATATAAAATGCATACTCTTTACTGTCTATCCAAATAGATTTGGCTTTAATTAAATCATGTTTTAATTATCAAGACAAAATTCGAAATGGAATTTACAACCAACAAATGGCTGTATTAGATCATTGTTACAGTATTTCTCAGCCATCAGTTCCACCACCAAACCACCAGATGTCACAATTCTAGTTTGGTTTTACTTCATTGTGATCATTTTCTGTTTTTCAGTACAGACTTTAAAAGAATGGCAATGTTTTTTGTTTTTTTTTATACAAAATGAGCTGTCTACTTTCAAGGATCTTTCATTTTTATGCCATGGATCAATCCATTATACCAATACAGATTTAAACACTGACATTTGTAATGTAGGCCTGCAAATGTGAGCCAAAAACATCCTGGGATTTGAATGAGTGTATGCCTCTTTCTGAGCTGCCGGATGTCCCAGTAGAGGGCACCACTTTACACCCTCAGGAGACTTCAGATCTATTAGTCATTCCACTGGAATTAATTATTCATAGAGATCTGCCATGTTCTTAACAGACATTTTCAGTAAAGTGCCCAAATTACATTAAATTGCTATCCCCAGTCACCCGAACATTTGCATAACATTTATTCTTTAAGCATTGCACATTATTTTAACTGCAGTTTCACTTAAACCAAGAATTGTAGCCAAAAATAAATTTAGAAACTAACTGTCCTATAGCCTAATAAAAAATAAATAGGCCTACATTAACTCAATCCCCAAAAAGATTAATGGATTGGGTACGGATCTAACATTCAACATGATATTAAAATACATTGTATTGCTATAGTTAGTAGGCCATAGGCTATAGTTAAATCATGAATGTTCTGAATGAATGTTATTTCACATGGGTGTTCTCACCTTATTTTTTTTTCAGAATCAGTGTGTAGAAAAAATATGGATCATAGCCTGAATATTGCTCACTGGAGCTGAAGTATTCATATGCACACAGGGACACAAAAAAGTATATCCAAATATTGCAATAAATTTTCATCAACTGGTGTGGATTTTTAGATGATTTATAAAGTCCCCCTTGGGCTACAGGGTGATAGCTCCTATTTCAGAAGACTGGTTGCCCACTGAAGCACGCAGGGTTGAGCCTGGTGGTCAGTACCTGGATGGGAGACGGAGACCTCCTGGGAAAACTATTGCTGCTGGAAGAGGTGTCAGTGAGGCCAGTAGGGGGCGCTCTCCCTGTGGTCTGTGTGGGTTCAGTATACAATAATGGGGACACAATACTGTCAAAAAGCCCCATCCTTCGGATGAGACGTTAAACCAAGGTCCTGACGCTGTGGTCATTAAAAATCCCAGGATGTCCTTTGAAAAAAAGTGGAACTCCGCTTCCTGGCCAAATTGCCCATTGGCCTCCATCCCCATACTGACACTTAATTTCATGTTATTTGCAATTTGTATTTATATTACATGCAATTAGTTGAACTTAAGAGCACTTTTTCGTTATAACATTAATCATGATGTTATATGTGCTTTAGTATGCTACTTTAGTATGTTACTCAGTAGCTAGCCTACTTTAAGTTAAAACGTTTAATCAGTGCACTTTTTAAAGAAGTGTAATAAACCAAAGTGCACCCTCTTTAAATTAATGCCTAGACTAGTGGACTTTTATTTCAGTATTATTATCATCTGCATGCACAGTTTTAAAGTGCACTACAAATGTACATTCAATAAAGAAAGAAAAAAATAAGTGCTCTTCAGCTCTTCTATATTCTCGAGGACCCCAAGTTCAAAAAGGTAGTAATCAACTCAACTTTGACATTCATTTTAGTCTATATTTGTTTTACAAATGAAAACACATAGGCCTATTTAGAAAAAAATGCACTTGAAGGGGGCTTTAGCCTATTATAGCTCGTATTCAGGATAAGAAGCCATATTCATGCGCGCGAATGCAAACGAGGCTGACGGATGATGCACAGTCAATTCGTGGCTGTCGCGTGATGTCTAAATTTCAATTCGATAATAAAGTTGAATTACGACCCATTACTATCTCATACAGCCTCGGTTTAATTTGCGAAATAGCCTATTAGATAGCTCATGGCATGGCATACACCCTGCCTAAACGTCCAAGCGTAACAATGCGAGAGAGCTTCAATTTCTCGGTTCGGCTGTTTCCGGCTGCAGTCGGCTGAGGGAATGCAGACACCGAAGCAAGCAGACTAGAGTGTAGTCAATGGAGACGGGGAAATAAAAGAAGAGGAAAGGGATAAACAGCTCCGACGGCTACCCAGGAGCAGCGCCGAAAAATAAAACCAGCAGGTAAGGCATTCCGAGCATATAGATTTCTCTGATAGGCTATCTATGTTTGACACCTCACTATTACTGTACAGGTAGACGTTGTCGCATTCCATGACAGTGACTGGGCGGACCTAAAACTGTATCCCACCGGCCCGTAGAGCTAATTTAACATATGAACAAGAAGAAATACTGGCAAATGTCAATAACAGGAGTCAGGCGAGCGGCTTGTGAGGGATCAGAGCTCTGACTGAGACTGGCTGGCGGAGAACCGTTAAGACGCACAAGCGGATTAGGACTCGCGAGCAGGTGCCTTTGTTGGCTCGCGCCGTTGCTAGTGGAGACCCGCAGTAGCCCGACGCGCTTCTTTAAAATTAATGCCTTCGAATGAGCGTCTCTTCAGCACACGGGGAATAAAACGTGCTTGACAGGTAAGAACTATTTTTTGCAAGCTTGTGTTTGATGTTTTTCCTTTTTAAGAACCAAAAAGAAACTTTCTTTATTGTAGGCTATACGCCAGTTAAAAAGTGCTGATCTTATGCACGCGCAGTTACATTACAGTATAGTGTAAAATGTTTATGAAGGTTAAATTATTCATTCTCTTTTAATGCCCTGTACCTTTAAGAATCATATAACGTTTTGTTTAAATAATTGTGCGCATAGGATGAAAAAATGGAACAAACGAACACTTTAGATGTAGCCTACGTAGGCTACCTGTAGACTGATATTATTTCAATAAGACGCAGCATGTCAACTGCATGCAGTTTGTGAATAGGCTTCAGGAGCTCGGTGAAGTATTTTCACGCACGAGCAGATGGTCTCCATTTAGACTGCCGAGTAGTGGGGATTTTAGCTGATGCAGTCTCTCTCTCTCTCTCTCTCTCTCTCTCTCTCTCTCTCTCTCTCTCTCTCTCTCTCTCTCTCTCTCTCTCTCTCTCTCTCTCTCTCTCTCTCTCTCTCTCTCTCACACACACACACTGTCAGAAGGTGTTTCTCATGTCTGCAGGATTGGAGACACTCATCTCTGCAGTCTATCTATCTATCTATCTATCTATCTATCTATCTATCTATCTATCTATCTATCTATCTATCTATCTGTCTGTCTGTATGTCTGTCTGTCTGTCTGTCTATCTATCTATCTATCTATCTATCTATCTATCTATCTATCTATCTATCTATCTATCTATCTATCTATCTATCTATCTATCTATCTATCTAAATTATTGTAGCATAGCTGTCCAGACCTATTCTCTTTCCATAAAGCTGTATTTTCCATCATATATTTGGCAACATCCCTGTTTGCTTTACACAAAAATTCAGCCTTGCCCATCCTGTCTATTTCTGTCTGTCTCTCTGAAACTAATGCTGTGTATATTACAGTAAACTCGTCTGTATCTCCAGTTATACATATTGCCATGTGCCTCTAATTGCTACCAATATTATATAATTGAGTTGAATTTATTACCATATCTTACAGTTTTTTACAATCACTTTGCAACTATTTTCAGAACCTTGATGTCATTTTTCAAAACTCTAGACACAAAATTCAAAACGGTTATCACTTGTAACACAGGCTGTCTAATGTTCAAAACATTGCATTGTGCATTCACATCTTTAAAGAAATCTTGCACTTGCACAATCATTGGTTCAAAAAACAAATTTACTGTGAAATACCATTGAAACATAACTATAGATCACCCACACACAAGCAACCGATAGTTTCACTGTGTCATTGTTCGTACAATAGGTGATACAGGTTTCATTATGGCACGTACTACATCTACAGTAAATACATCTCTGTGAAAGCACTGGAATAGTAGAGAGAATACACACATAGTGGAATCATTGAACAAAGTGTGTAATATATTGATGCAAAACACTACAGTACAATCACAACATAGGTTTATTGGAATCAAATCAAAACAAAAATATTAAATATTAGGCTACATCCATGGATATTGTAGTCTAATTGGTCCATGCTCCACGCTAATTGGTGACAATGAATCTCGTTATCTTGAAACTTTCATGATTTACTGTAAACATGGAAGATTGTGTGTCTGTTTCCATACAACTATGCATTACAGTAAGAGTAATGCAACAGTTACTTATCATTTTGAGCAGTTGTATCAGTGATAGTTAGATCATTGTAAGGAAATGAATAGACACTCATTTGAAATGTAATGTGTGAATTGCCTTTTGAAATAGTAGTACTGTGATGTTAAGTTGTGTCATATTGAACATTAGATTTTTGTTGAATGAACAAATGATCTAAGTTTTATGTGTATTGTATCCAAGCAATTGAGAAAAGGGTTAGAGTTTTGAAAAATGTGTATTTTGATCATTGGTTGTGAGTTTTGTGTCTAGAGTTGTGAAAAATGGCATCAAGGTTCTGAAAATAGTGATTGTAAAAAACTGTATTGCTTATCTAACTGTAATATATAATAAAAAATAATTTATAATATATAAATGTATATTTGTATTTTATATTTAAAATAGGCCTATAATAATTTGTATATTATTATATTTTATATAATAATAATTTATTAGCATTATAATAATTATAATATAATTTGTATAGTTTGTATATATACAATTGTGTATATATCTGCTGTCAAATCAATTGAATCGCATCCAACATAAAAGTTTGTTTATATAATATATGTATGTGTGTATATATATACACACACACCATACTGTATATATATATATATATATATATATATATATATATATATATATATATATGCATACATGTGTACACACACACACACACACACACACACACACACACACACACACACACACACACACACACACACACACACACACACACACACACACACACACACACACACACACACACACACACACACACACACACAGTATACACAAACTTTTATTGTTAGATGCAATATATGTATATATATATTTGTATATACACAGGTAAGGTTGTGAATTGTAACACTGTTGCCATTTGTTACAATTTGCTGTTTTCTCAGTTCTAGGGTTTTTTTAACCAATGCACTTTCCGGCACCATGTTCTACGGTTCCTCATCTGCCAGCATGTCTCTGCCATCCAAGAACCGCCTGAAGCGACAGAGTCGCACTTTTACGCAGGTTCTTTACCGGACACTGAGTTATCGGGATCGTCGCTCTGTGACCGACCTACCTGAGCAGGTACGGGATGATCCAGCTGAGCTTTCCACCCAATCATCTGCACCAGGTGTGCTGAAGATATTTGGTGATGAAATCAGTGCTGGGGCTAACTACAAAAGCGTCCTTGCCACACCTCGTTCCAGCGCCCAAGAGTTGATCAAAGAGGCGCTTGATCGCTATTCTCTAAACAAGGCCTCGGTCTGTAGCTATGTGTTGTGTGATGTGATTGGACGGTTTGAGGGCCCAGAACGACGGTGGCGGACTGAGTGCCTTCGGGCGCTAGGGAACAACGAAAAGCCCCTTCTCTTGCAGGACCTCTGGAAGCCAAAGGAGGGTTACTCTCGCCGCTTTGAGCTCAGGAGAAGAGCCGAGGTTGAGGAACTGGCAGCAAAAGAGAAGGATACAGTCACTGCAGGTAATGCACAAACACATTCATTGAGAAACAGGAGAGGATGTTCTTGTCATGTGATTTTATTTCCTAATGAATTGAAACAGGAAAATCCTGTACAACAGGGCAAAAAAAGGCATGAAAGCACATTATTCCTTCTGTAAAAGAAGACATTTTGAAGAATGTCGGTAACCAGAGAGTTGATGGACCCCATTGACTTCCATAGTATTTATTTTTTCCTACTATGGAAGTCAATGGGGTCCATCAACTGTCTGGTTACCAGCTTTCTTCAAAATATATTCCTTTGTGTTCAGCAGAAGAAAGAAATTCATACAGGTTTGAAACAACTTGAGGATGAGTAAATGATGACAGAAATTTCATTTTGAAGTGAACTATTACTTTAAGTAATCCTTTATCAGTGTTTACCTTATTTCAGTATTTACCTTTTCCAGACATCTGAATTACAAATTTAATTTTACAATTCCTGGACAATGACAAATGCATTTCACTATTTGATAATTGTATGTTATATGGAATATGTTCATAGATGTTTTACAATATTTTTTTTTTTTTATAAAAGTAAAAAAAAAAATGTGACTATAATATTTTAATAAAAATTTTTTTTTATAATATTTTAATAAAAAAAAAACAAATTATAATATTTTAATAAAACAAAAACAAATTTTAATATAATAAATTATAATTATATCATTTAAAATACTTTTTTTTAGCATTGAGCTGATCAGATGTCTGATTTCAAGCATTGTTTCAGTCATTATTTTCAAGAACAAGATTTGATAGTTCCAAGCTGCATTAGCATGACTGTCGTGATCAGATCAGTATTAAGCTAACTGTTAGCTTCCAAACAGGTTTGACTGCTCAATTGTTGTGTATTGTTGGATATTTTTGGCCGATTCCAGAAAATGTCGGAAGTGGGAAATTTGAAATTTTATCTCCTACACCACAAGATGGCACCATCATATTTAGTGTTATAATGTTAATTATGGTAAAGACAAAAGTCGTGAACACAAAATGCATGCATTCGTTTTAAAAACAGCCTAAAAAGCAAAAAGGTATCGTTATATATTACGTTACAAATTTAATTTTGTACAATGCCCTTCTGTCACCACCATCTTTGAAATGACATCAATTGACACTTCTCTCTCTAAGATCGGGGTTGAATGGATTTCCAACTTTGAGCATCGCTCCAGTCATTAGGTACTTCTCATTTCTTATTTGTGCATCCTCGGAAGGATAAACCTGTGTATCCTCGCTCATGACTAGGGTTGGGTACCGAAACTCGGTGCCAATAGGGAACCGGTTCCGACGTAAACGGTAGTAACCAGACCGAATAAGAAAGAAAATTTCGGTGCCTGATTTCGGTGCCTAACTTCATTAGGCACACACGCGCACACACACACACACAAGGTCTCTCGCTCTCTCTCTCTCTCCGCCGTGCGTGTGCTACACAGTTTGGAGCACAGTTTCTTCTGTCTCGCATGCGCGCTCTTTCTCGCAAGGTTTGGCTGCATTTCACGTGTAAAATTACGTGTCAGAACGCCCTCTGGGTGTGCCGATAGTCTGAATCCCATATAGAATCAAGCCAATTCATTGGCTGATGGCGCCGCATCGACGCACTTACGTCGTCATACTATGCTGTCGCGCGCGCGCCATCTGCTCCTCAGATTTCTCTGCCGAAAAAGGAAGCTGGTCGGCAGCGCGAGGAGCTTGGCTGCGTCCCGTTCCCTATTGAGAGATATGTTACACCAGTAACCAGAGATGTTCTCTTTCATAGGTTCACTCAACGCTGCGTAGCTAAGAAGCAGTGGATTTGTATTTGTAGGCTGCTGTATCACGTGCCGTTTGAACTGACGCGCTACAGCGATCTGTCACATTTCAAAGAGCCAAAACGTTATTTATTGTGTGAATCTCGTAAAAATATTGACAGAATCTGACAGCTGTGGATTTGTTCCATATCAAAAGTAACCTTCTCTGTCTTGTCTGTCAGTGTCCTCTTTGTCCGCGATTTTTCTGTGTGAAAAGGGTCATTTGCGTGAGTCTCACGGTCAATGCGTGAGAGTTGGCAGCTCTGCCTGCTAGTAATCTCTATTAATCTCCAGTATTATTACATTGTTTGATACAATATTGTTTCATTTGATATTATGTAAATATGAATTTTTATTTTATATTGGTTTTATTATTACCATATGTTACTTGTATTTATATTGTTTAAAGATTTAAGTTAATATTGTGTCCAGTTTGGCCCTGTAAATTAAAGGGTATTATTTTTTTGATAAAGTGTGTGCGGTTTCATTTTCTTAAGTACCGATTTAAGAACCGTTTAAGCACCGGAACCGTTTAAAAAATACCGAGTAGGTACTGGAATCGGATAAAACCCAAACGATACCCAACCCTACTCATGACTCCTCAGGAAGCTTCCTCGCTCCTCGATCGTGCAATTAAAGAATTGAGATGTCCTCTAAGTTGGCTGAGTTTGGTTGGTTTCCGGGTCACGGGCTTGAGGACGTAGGAGCAAGAAAACGAGGAAGCATCAATTTGAGTATTGAGAAACACCTATTATTTTCAAGTATGAGGGTCAATTTAGTATTCATAAAATAGTAGGGGAAAAGTACTCCAATGACAACTATCCAGAGAGATTTGGTAGTGTGCATCCAATGGACACTTTATCCCAAGAGGCCACAGGAGAGGATTTGTGAACGTACGCAACTGTTGGCGTAGGTCACATGACAGTGACAACATGGTGAATGTAGTACGTTCGAATTTCATTCATACTACACACATGCACAATATATAGTGCACTAGTTTCAAACCAGTACCTATACAGTATGCGAATTTGAGCGTAGCAATTGTTAAGATTAAAACAAACAAAACTTGTTTTGAATTATCGGGTCAGCTGAATTAACAGAAGCTTAAAATCAGCTATCACATCACTCCTTTTAAGTGCTATCTGAAGATAAAAGTTGTGCGGAACGTATCACTCCAATCAACATAGATGTTGTGATAACTGGCACTAGATCGTCATTGTTCTTTGTCATTCAGGGCTGCTCAGGTTTGCTAATGCCGACTCGCACATGTCAGAGCAAGTGCCAGAGATAAATGCACGACTGGATCTGCCGTAGTATGGCCGGCCTCCAGTAGTTGAATTGAGGTCTCAGTTTCACTATTTTATTTGTGCACTTTTATTGCAGACTAGTCATAACATCTTTCCCTCACTGTCTCTCTCTTTCTGTTTGTGCCTGAATGCTGTTGTACTAAATTACAAATTCAACAAGGTGGCCATTGAGCCAAAACACAGGGTGGAAGTTAAATCAATATCAGCAGGCACATTACTCAGGATAATTTATCCTCAGGTTGAACTGCTTTTCTTCTTGGTGGGATAGAAAGAATGTATGCGTGTCTGTATTGGATTCTAAGTGTAGATGTTTTGGGGAGAAAATTATCCCCAGAAGTGCGTTAATCTGACGAAACCTTCCTTTGGGGATGTTCTCAGTTAAAAAAATGTTTATTCTAAAATGCAAACCGTATTATTTAGTACTATTTATAATTATATTTAAATACAAATGTCTTCATTTAGATTGCTAAATAGACATGTGCTTATATTTGTAGCTTTTCTGCTAAACTCTACGCCCAGTTAGCTTTAAAACTACAGTAGTCTGGATTATGTAACTAGAAACTCCATTTAATCTGCCTTATTGGAAAAAATCATATTCTCAAGTAATGCATTATGGAATCTTGGGAATTTTTCTGTGAGCTTGCTACAGTGCTATTAAGTGCATAATTGTATATGCACAATTGTTGTAGTTCTCGTCTACGTGTGATTGCATTTTAATTAATGAAAATGTCGCAGGCTTATCAGAGGATTTTAGTCCTTAAGCTTGTTCAAAGTGGTCTTCTTAAACTTGGCTTAGCATCCTGCTGTTTCTTCATGAGAAGAGACGCTCACATTGGGACTGTTCTCAAAAATGCATGCGTCTTGTGCTTTTCACAGTCAATCAAAAGGGCAGTGATGTTTAAAGGGGTCATATAATGCCATTTTTGTACAAGCTAGAATGATTCTTTAGGGTCTAAATTAAAAGTTTGTAATATACTTTAATTACAAATTCTCATTAGTATTGTAAGAAAACACTTATTTTACCTGGTCAAAAATAGCTCTGTTTTCAGCACGCCGTTTCAGTGCATATGACTTTAAATGATAATGAGCTTTGCTCACTCCGCCTCTCTGTTCTATGCGTACACCGTTTGTAACACAATAACACAATAACCATAACGCGTTGTTCAGTATAAACGTGGGATTATGAATTATATTGAGAACATCATACATAGAAAACATGCCGTAATGTACCCTAAGTGTAAACCTTAGACGCATTCATTGTGAAGCGTGCAGCTAGCGATTTGCAAAGATTAATATAAATATTAATATAAAGTTTAATAAAACGTTACACTCACTTCAGTTGTTCTAGAGGTTCAGCAGGAACACGAATAGCTGGTACCGATTCTTTTTTCATGACCAGCTTCTTAGCAAAACCAGCTTTATACTGACCCTCGTTTATAAAGCAGTCTGGTGTGAGAAATGATTCGCGCAAACATGAAAGCATTGACGTTGCTCGTGGGGAATATTCCCTTCGAAAACAAACTCAGCCACTGCGTCTTCAGCGGTTCGGATTTAGGAACATTAAAATGACTGCTGTGTTCGTTATTGCACCCAAGAACAGAACACCACAATCGCTTAGACGCCATTCTGCTCATAGACAGTGCTCCAGCATATCAACAATGACCGCGCCGGTCCGCGCAGACTATGATTGACAGCTCCCTCACGAGCGAGGGCGGGTCTGTGTTGAAACGTTGCTGTCAATCAACAATCACGGAATGGGGCTTCCGAGCGTGTGACGTCACAAGGTCGAATGGCTTGATTTGAGACAGGGGAAAACATATAAGGAGATTAAAACAAAAACACTGGATGGATTTTTATCATTTTATGATGGTTGTGTACAGGCACTGCCAACACACATTTCAGTACAATCAACTTGTAAAAGTGCATGTACCATTATATGACCCCTTTAAGAAGATGGAGGCATATACATAGATCAAGGGTTTAGGAAGGTCATGGATGAGTAAAGGTGAAGAAGGGTTGGGGGATTACATTTGCAAGTCAACACCACCATCTGCACACACACATATTACACAGGGACAGATGCTACTTGGGGGCTTCATGGATAGTGTCTAGGTATTTACCAACACATGCACGTTTTATGACAGGTTTGGAATTGGCAGTTATGTCTGCATGAGCACAGTGTCAGAATATTGTAGAACTGTATTTAAATTTAACTATAGGATTGAACCCCCCAGTTCAATCCTATATCAGCAGTTTCTTGAAAAACCTGTCAAAATCATTGTAGAATCTATTATACAACCAAAACCACATGAAATGCTAGTTAAAGTGCCCCTTTTATGCTATTTTAAAGGTTGCTAATTTTGTTTTGGAAGTCTCTTACAATAGGTTTACATGCATCCAAAGTCAAAAACACTTCAATTTTCTCATAATATACATTGCAGAATTTTTTTTTTTTTACAGTCTGTGAAACGGTTCGATAGAGGATTCAGTCTCCCTGAAGCCCTCCTTTCTGAGAGCCTACTCTGCTCTGTTTAGTCAGATTGCCCAGTCTGTTGTGATTGGTCTGCTGCTTACAGCGTGTGTCAGAAATGAAATGGCTATTACCATATCTGAATTTTGGAGGCTTCCTCAGCTCTTGACAGTTAGAGACTGTTTGTATCACAGTAGCCCCTTTCACACAGAGATTCCGGAAAATACTCGGATAAAGCGACCCGGGTTCGTTTGATTTTGGTTCATTCACACTGCCAGTGATTTTCCGGAATCAGAGAGTGCGTTCACACACAACCCGTAAAAATCCCGTAAAGACACGTGACATCGATGTGACATGTAATGTCTCACCAGTGTGTATAGTTTGCTTATGAGCTGCAATTTCTCTCTGGAGAAACCACGCTTGTGCATTTTTTTTCTCTGATTTGATCATAAACTAGCGCATTACGTACCGTTTCACTAGCCTGCTTTCACTTCACTTCAGCGTCATCATTACGACACGGCTTTGGTTACGGCTTTTGTTCACACAGCGCGAATTCCGGGACTGATCCCGGCAAAGTTACTAGGTCCCCAACCCGGCATCGATCCCGGCATCAATCCCGGGTCGTGTTTGCGTTCACACAGAAGGCGTTCTGGCAATTTCCCGGCAATTTCCCGGGATCAACGCGCTGTGTGAAAGGGGCTAGTGATACAAACAGTAATGATGGCGTCGGTTTTACAGTGTCAGTTCGAGCCCAAAGGATGAGGCTTTGGATGTGCATGTCGACAACACTAACTAAACTCTTCCAGGCCTCAGCTACAACTACAGTATTTGAGGGCGGGTCAAAGTCTATGTTGTTCGCTGGCAGCCAATGAAGACCATAGGCTGGCATTATGCAATTTTGTTACAAACCTTCAGAGGTTTGTGCAGGAAGTAAGACTGGAATTACTGACGACTCGTTTCAGGCAGTTCAGAATCAGTTATTTCTTTTGGGAGACAATAACTCATGCATTCATTTATCGTGCACTTTGATCTATGAAACTTTGCAGACCTTTTACATTCACAAACAGCTATGTTACACACTACATGAAAGGTAATATCCACAAAAAAAGCATAATGGGGCTCATATTCTATGCTTCTATGCATCACAGGAACATTTAGATGGTGGATAATGGCATGATTTGCTTGAACAGCTTACTTGAGTGAGTGAATAAATAGAATTGTGTGTGTATTTTCATGGTTTTGTTGGTGATTTATATTTGTTGTGGTGTTTACCCATGCCCAGGGACCCACACAAACTCCCCTGTGCTATCTTCAACCTTGAGTAGAAGCGGGCATGGTAGATGCCATCGGAGCTCCCCCCGGGGCTGGCGTTTGATACAGCCCTGTACAACTATTGTAAAAGGTGGGGACTGTCCTCAGGTATGGTGTCAACCACCAGCCCCACCTCCATATACAGTACCATTATTTTTCAGACCCATAATTTACTGTATTCCTCCATGCACACGTCAAGTGTTGACTTCCTATGCCCATGTACTACCCCATTTATCCCTCATCCCACAAGAATATTACCTTTATTTGATCATGCCTCTAAACTTTGTTATTTTCTTCCTTGAAACAAAGTTTTTGCAATATGTTTGCTCTGTTCTTTTCCATACAGTGAATGGGGATGCTGGCAGTTGAGCTTGAAAAATTACAAAAAGTACCATAAAATTATTCAATATGACTTAAGTTGCTTTGTTTAAACTTAAATTGAGGTTACTAAGCATGGCATAAAACCGAAATAGTCTCTTTGTTATGCTTTGCATTTCACCTCCATATCCACTGTTGTCTTTTAATGCCTGAAATAAAGTCTACTTGTGTGTTTTCATTTTGGCTGTATCATAATTTAAGATCACTGCAACCCTCTGACAGCACAAATTAAGGTTAAACGTCTTTTATGAAATTTCCAGTTATATGTTTTTTTTTTGTTTTTTTTTTAGCAATTTTGAGTCCAACTATTTTGATAAACCTATCTGTTCATTTAAACCACATAAGGTTAGTTTTGTGGCTAAGGACAATGTATGACAATTACCTAAGTGGTTTTCTCTCTACGGCAGATATCAATGCTCAAGCAAGGAAGCTGCAAAGAAACCGTGCGAAAGGAACAATGACACTCCAGCACGGCTCCTCATTTTGCCGCAGCCTCAGTGAAACCAGCCTTAACTTGGTGGGACTGCCTGGTGAGGAACCTAAACGGTACTACTCCACCCTCCCAGGGCCAATCAGAACACGCTCTGCACGAGACGCTGAGATCCGTAAAGAACGAGATGGTGGCGGAGTTAAACACTCTCTCTACCAATCACCACACTTGCTGCTCCTTCAAGGGTACAACCAACAGGTAAGCAAAATCACCTATATAAAATGTATATACTATTCAAAAGTTTGGGGTCAGTAATTTTTTTAAAAGAAATGAATTATTCTAGTCAGCAAGGATGCATTAAACAGATCAAAAGTGACAGTAAATACATTTATAACATTACAAAAGATATCTATAAATGCCGTTCTTTTGAATTTTCTATTCATCAGGAATAAAATATGAAAACTGTTTTCAACATTGATGATAATAAGAAATGTTTCTTGTGCACCAAATTAGCATATTATTAGAATGTCTGATGGATCATGTGTCACTGAAGACTGAAGGAATGATGCTGAAATTTCAATTTTGCCATTACAGAAATAAATTGCATTTTGCATTATATTCAGTTAGAAAACAGTTATTTTAAAATGTAATATTTAAATATTTTACAATATTATAGTTTTTAATGTATTTTTTATCAAATACCTGCAACCTCGATGAGCAGAAGACACATCTTTCAAAAACATCAAAAAATCTTGACCAAACTTTTCAATGGTAAATATACACTCACCTAAAGGATTATTAGGAACACCTGTTCAATTTCTCATTAATGCAATTATTTAATCAACCAATCACATGGCAGTTGCTTCAATGCATTTAGGGGTGTGGTCCTGGTCAAGACAATCTCCTGAACTCCAAACTGAATGTCAGAATGGGAAAGAAAGGTGATTTAAGCAATTTTGAGCGTGGCATGGTTGTTGGTGCCGGACGGGCCGGTCTGAGTATTTCACGATCTGCTCAGTTACTGGGATTTTCACGCACAACCATTTCTAGGGTTTACAAAGAATGGTGTGAAAAGGGAAAAACATCCAGTATGCGGCAGTCCTGTGGGCGAAAATACCTTGCTGATGCTAGAGGTCAGAGGAGAATGGGCCGACTGATTCAAGCTGATAGAAGAGCAACTTTGACTGAAATAACCACTCGTTACAACCGAGGTATGCAGCAAAGCATTTGTGAAGCCACAACACGCACAACCTTGAGGCAGATGGGCTACAACAGCAGAAGACCCCACCGGGTACCACTCATCTCCACTACAAAATAGGAAAAAGAGGCTACAATTTGCAAGAGCTCACCAAAATTGGACAGTGAAGACTAGAAAAATGTTGCCTGGTCTGATGAGTCTCGATTTCTGTTGAGACATTCAGATGGTAGAGTCAGAATTTGGCGTAAACAGAATGAGAACATGGATCCATCATGCCTTGTTACCACTGTGCAGGCTGGTGGTGGTGGTGTAATGGTGTGGGGGATGTTTTCTTGGCACACTTTAGGCCCCTTAGTGCCAATTGGGCATCGTTTAAATGCCACGGCCTACCTGAGCATTGTTTCTGACCATGTCCATCCCTTTATGGCCACCATGTACCCATCCTCTAATGGCTACTTCCAGCAGGATAATGCACCATGTCACAAAGCTCGAATCATTTCAAATTGGTTTCTTGAACATGACAATGAGTTCACTGTACTAAAATGGCCCCACAGTCACCAGATCTCAACCCAATAGAGCATCTTTGGGATGTGGCGGAACGGGAGCTTCGTGCCCTGGATGTGCATCCCACAAATCTCCATCAACTGCAAGATGCTATCCTATCAATATGGGCCAACATTTCTAAAGAATGCTTTCAGCACCTTGTTGAATCAATGCCACGTAGAATTAAGGCAGTTCTGAAGGCGAAAGGGGGTCAAACACAGTATTAGTATGGTGTTCCTAATAATCCTTTAGGTGAGTGTAACATGGAATAACTAATGAAATAATGAAATGGAAATCATGAAAACATAAACGAAAACATTATATAAAAATACATAATTTTTTTTTTTTTTTATGTGTCACATAGGAACTTTCTTAAAGTCATTTTTTTATTACTCCTGTCTGGACTTGTTTATTGTCCGATTTGCTTTTGTTTGTCAGGATTGCCTGGTTTACCTGTTGAATCGAGAGCAACACACAGTTGGTCAGGAAACAGCATCAGCACGGCCAAATATCTGCCTGTCGTCTCCGGATGTGCTTCCACTTCACTGCCGAATACGTCGTGCTGTGCAACGGCGTTCTTCCTCAGACCAGCGGTTACTTCTAGAACCTGTCGCCCATGGCAATGTTCTGGTTAACTTCATGCGTATTGAGCGGCCCACTCCACTGCGTCATGGGGATTTGCTGTCCTTTGGTGCTCATTACATCTTCCTGTACAAAGACCCACTGAGTGCGAAACCTCTTCCTGCCCAAAGTCTCACTCGACTTCGGGCGCTGGCACGACTTTGCGATAGCGAGTCGGGGGGTGTGCCTGAGAAAGGAGAGGCATGTCGTATGTGTGGGGCCGTATTACATGAACCAGTGGCGTCTCGGCGCAGCTCTAAGGCTCCAGCGCGAGGTGCACAGAAGAGAAAGCTCGCGTTGGAATTTGAGCGGGCTCACGAGGATGCGCTGGTGAACCGGGTGCTGACACTTATTGAGCCGAGCGGGGATGACCACAAGCTGACACCAGCATATTTGCTTTGTCTATGCATCAAGCACTCAGCTAATACATTTCCACCTGGCAGCTTTGGTAAACTATTGCTGAAAATGTCCAAGAGGATTCAAACCATCGCATGGGTTAGTACTCAAGTCAATAGTTTAGATGTGTTTAAAGCTGAAATATGCTATTTTTTCCATGTTCAAATACTTCTATCCCAATTTGAGATTGCATATTTAATTTCCTACAAAGTTGGGATGTGCAATATATTGGTGCCATTTTGGATATTTAATTCATCAATATCTGTCGGTATTGGATATTTATCGGCCTATATTGCATATTTAATTGTGCATGCATATTTCCCCTATTTTTACATTTAGATTACCTTTGCTATCATCTAATGCTCACTTAAAATTAATCTTTAAAAACTCTAATAATTAAATAATTAAATGGAATAATAATAATGTTAAATGTAACGTTTTCACTGTACATTTTATTGTTTTGATTTTAAATTCATTTTATTTTTTATTTGATTTTAGCTTTTAGGGAATTACACACTTTACCTTTAAGAGAAGTCTTGTTTAAAACTTTTAATTTTATGCAGCAGATACCCTAGCCTAGTTCATGCATACTTGGCCCACTCAATTGTCTGTCGCTCATCAAACTACATTTCCCACAATTCCTCTGGCTCCTCCCACTGTCATTGAGACTGATTGTGTTTCAGTATGGGAGAAGAAAATGATGGAATGGCAAGCATGGCAAGACTTGTTTTACAATTTTGCACATAAGAAATGAAAGAGTTTTCTGCATGTTCACAATGTCCAAGTGCAAGCGTGTTTCTTAAATGCATAGCTATAGCATTTGCATGAAGAGGATCAGTCCCAGAAGACCTATTGATTGATTTTCTGCTGTGAGGGTCAGTACTGTATTCACCTCACATGGCCTTTTGTCTTTGTTGACAAATGCATTTTCCTTTGTTGATTTAAAGACTACAGAAATTTGTGAATGTCCCTTTAATCTTGCCCCAATGAAACCATGCATTTAATGACCGTCTTTGAACTCATTAATTATTAAAATCCAATTTTAGAAGGTCAACCATCAGCCCCAATATTAACCAGCCAAAGAAAAGAGCAAGAAAGGAAAGGTTGAAAAAAAAATGACTCCAATGTATTATACCTCCCACATGCAGCTATTCAAAATTTGATGACATTAATTGCCGTCCGTGTCTGTGTCTCGCAGGAGAAGACAAAGGAGTTGGCACAGAAGCAAGCTCAGCAGTGAGTATCATGTTCCCCCTTATAATACGCACATGCGTGCACTTTGAATGTGTGACACTCTAAGGTCACTTGGCGCTGAATAGGCTGTCACCAATTCTAAAAGCATTGCCACTGAGTCAAACCATTGAATGTATGTGTTTTTGTATGGTTATACAGTCAAGATCCTGCCTCCCTGTCTCTGCTCAGCATCTCAGACCTAGTACCTGATCTCCAGTTCATTTTCTTCTGGATGTCCAATGCCATAGAAATACTGTATTTTATCCAGCAGAAGTCCCCTGCATACATGCAGACTATTGAGCTCATGGACGATAAAGGTATGAAACACTAGGCTTTTTCCACTTAAAATAGTTTCCAAACCCAGGGTTAACGGAATCCTGGGTTTTCTTGTGCTTCACGTTTTACACTGCTCATATTTTACCCAGGATTAACAATTAAAGGTAGGGTAGGACATTTTCTGAGAGGCTAGCAATAGCAAGCTATTTTTGAAAGCATAAGATCATCCCACCCTCCCTTTAGAGCGTCTCCAAAGCCACGCCTCCTCCAAAACACATGAACGCTTACAGCAGGGAGCAAACAAAAGCATCACGAGGGACGGTGTTAAACTACCTCATGTCTCAAAGCACATAACATTACAATAATAATGAACATAAACAACTTAATGAACTCTGACCTATACCACCTGACTGCTGCAGATTCATTTCCTCATTGATAGTGTAAGTCAATTTTTAAAAAGTTTTCATGTACTAACTCGTTATTTCCTCTGACTCCATAAATGAAAAGGTTTTAATGATATCTGTGCATCATTAAATGTAAGCAAACGTTTGATTATTCTTTTTAACTCTTTACTGAAAATAATGTCAGAGTCCGTTAAAACCAAATGTTTGCAATTTATTATGTCAGGTAAATGTATCATGCCAATTTCATAAGCAGATTAAAGATAGTCAACACAATAACATCAAATGCGTAAAAGATGTAGGTTAAACCCGACATTTAGAAAAATACATAATGCTGAAGCCCTGAGGTCCTTCAACATTATGGGCTAATTTGAGGTACAAATCGCCCCGAGCCTCTTGCTGCATTTCATTATATAGACATTTGCTAACAATAGATATTTGCATTCAGAGTTTGCACCTCTTGGGGACAGAGTGCCATTTGCCTGGAAGACACACCCTCCTTTGTGTACAGGTTCTCCCTAAAACTCTTAATAACTTATTACCTTTTGGTTTACCTCTTTGGGAATGAGACATTTGTACCAGTCGCACTGAGACATTTCAAATGATACCAAACATGCGTAATACTGTATGATAATTATTCACATTAAACCATATAGATTTTTGGGTGAATTTCAGGTGATCTCAACATGATAGAAAGAGGGAACGGGGGAATGGGGGGTCAAGCGAAAAAGATGTAGATTAGGATTGCTTAGGTGTGACTTGCGTCTCGAATGGTGGTGAGAACTTCACAAGAGAGAGTTCAAATGTTCATTTCCAGGAAGGTCCTTTTTCTTCTCAGGGAGTGAATTCGAGTCACGAACCACTCCGAATATAATGTCACGGGTATGGAAATCTCTTCCATTCCTAATTACAGTATTTATGGCGTAAACGCAACATAAGCTCGTTGTTTTGGATCAGGAGGAACTGTAAAAGGTTGCTGCTGTATCGTTTGCGGTGCTCAGTGACTGACGTCTGTCTAACTCTGCATAGCATGAAACACTCTGATGACGTGTAATTTCTGCTTTAGCAGGTGCAAGGATGTATGGAAATACATAAGTTGACATCGCATCATTGCATTTGGACCGAATGCAATGATTGGACGGACATTTTTTATGTCCTACGCCTTCCACAGACGATATACATATAAATACCTTTATACCACTTAACTTAGTGATTGCAATCAGGATGTGATGAGACATTCAACCAGCATAACAAAAAATGTTTCTGGAACAAATCGTCTAACCTGCCTTTAATTCTGTGTATACATAAACTGCCATTTCACACTGTACATTCCTGTGAATGTTCTTACATTTACATTTATGCATTTGGCAGATGCTTTTATCCAAAGTGACTTACATTGCATTTCAAGGTACACATTAACATTCTTATCAGCTTTCCCTGGGAATCAAACCCATGACCTTGATGGTGCAAGTGCCGACGCTCTATTGTTTGAGCTACAGGAAAGCATTCTTATTTGCATATTTGCGGTGTCAGTGTCATTGATTGGACAAGCGCAGTGCGCGACCTGTTTATTTAAAAGCTCTAGCATTGCGTGTCCTCATGCATTGCCTATTATCAAGTTTTCCTGAATGGACTTTTCGGACTATAAAGGTAAGAATGAAACGGTCTCTTCTTCACTGAAACTGACGCGTTTTCCATCTGCATTTTTCCTCATCAAATGCTAAAACGACTGTTTATACATCTCTGTGACTGTCCAAAGCACATGAATATGAGGCACGTGATTGGTTGTCAGTTGCAAAGTATCTAGTCATAACATTCTAACTCCACATTATTGCACACTGTACACATTTGGCAACACTGGCTAACACTGCAAAAGCTAAGGAGCAGGGTTTCATATCCTTGAATAAAAAGCAGTGCTAAGTGTGAAACGTTCCTCCACCAGACATTAAAAGCGGGATTTAAAACGACGGTAACCTGGGGGTTAAATACAGTGTGAAAAGTCCTTCTCAATTATTTTTAGACTAGAGTTGCAAAGCTGCAATGCCCATTATGGATTGGGTCAATGGGGCCCAATATAGACAAAATTAAAAACAAGATTAACTAGACAGGGGGATTAGAGGTTATAAAAGACACATCAAATGTTAAATGGTCTAATTGTATTTTTTCCCCCCCCTTCTGTTTCTAATTGCAGCAGGATCTAAAGAATCTCTCCTCTCAGCAACAATATCAGCAAATGAAGAGGCTATGACCATACTGGAGGAAGTGATCATGTACACCTTTCAGCAGTGTGTCTACTACATCACTAAGGTAAAGGGTAGTATTACGTTATATGTGTGGCGCCGCCCTTCTAAGATGTTACCAGGGCTCCTGGGAATGAATTATTTAATGTGTGCGTGGCTTCTTGTATGTGTTGTAGGTCTTCCTCTCGTCTACCTCCTTCTATTTCAAATAAATGCTGTTCTTTTGAACTTTCTATTCTTTGAAGAATCCCAAAAAAACAAACAAAACAAATGATCAGTTGCCACAAAAATATTAAGCAGCACAACAGTTTTCAATAGATAAAAAAAGCAGCAAATTAAATCAGCATATTAGATTTCTGAAGTAATGATACTGAAAATTCTGCGTTGGCATCACAAGAATAAATTACATTTTAAAATAGAAAAAAATAGTGTTTTTGATCAAACAAATGCAGCCTTGGTAAGCATGAGAGATTTATTTCAAAAACATAAGAAAATAGTACCTATCCTAACTTATTGACAAGTTTGTCAGTGATTCTTTTCATACAAGATGTCATGTATTTTTGTGACATCTCAGGTGATTCATTGTGCATTTTTGAGCCAATCAGCTGAGCCATAATTGCCATGTGATTATGAGTAATGGTTAGGAAAAGAGCCTAAAGAGCCGCAGGAAAATGACTACACTAATGGCAACACAAAAGAGGAAACGGTCCTAAATCCTTCAATAGTGACACTTTTAAAATAATAACACTAAATTAATTTATTAAATTGACAGCCCTATAATTAATGTGTGTCTGTTGGTGTCTGGTTATCCATGTCTTAACAAATGCCTGTTGTTTACATTTCAGACTTTGTACGTTGTGTTGCCTGGGCTGTTGGACTGTAACCCGTTTGGGACAGAGTCTTCATCAGAGCAGTGCCGGCGGGCTGTTGGAGTGTGTGTGTGTGCTGTGTGTGTGATGCCAGAGGCAGTTCGCAGGGTGGTGAGTGTGTTTCAGACTACATCAGACCTGCTGCAGCAGTACCAGGTTCATGCAGAGATTCAGAGTCAAATGTTTGCCTACCTCTTCTTCTTCACCAATGTCTCACTCTTCAATCAACTCATCGATAAAGGTGAGACACACACACACACTCACACACACACACCCCCTTTGATATATTTTCATTAAGCAGCCACTGCTGCTATGGCAACAACAGGACACAGGTTGTGTGTCAGCAATTGCAGGCAGAAGATAAAAGGGGTGAGAGATATACAAAGAATGAAACAAGATATCAGAATGGAGAGACTGATGGATTGGAGCAAATATTTTTTTTCTGCCCTCTAGTGTTGGAGATACTCTGAGCCAATGGACTTCCTCCATTGGTTCTTTTCTTAGGGAATACATATTTACTACATTTTGTTCCAAATTATGTTTTTTCAAGGTACACGACAAGAAATATTTGGCTAAGTATACTATTAAGTATACTACCATTCAGAAGTTTGGGGTTAGTTATATTTTGAAATGTTTTTTAAATAAGTATGTTATGCTCTTCATGGCAAACAGTAAAACAGGAATATAGTGAAATATAACAATTTAAAAGAGCTTGTTTCTATTTGAATATATTGTAAAATTTAATTTATTTCTGTAATGGCAAAGCTGAATAGAAAAATGGATCAATAGAACATTCAAAAGAACAGCATTTATTTGAAATGGAAAACAGCATAAACAGTATAAATGTATTTTCTGTCACTTTTGATCAATTTAATGCACCCTTGGTAAGTGTATTAATTTCTTACAAAAAAAAATCTTACTGACCCCAAACTTTTGAACGGGAGTTCATATCTAAATGTAATATATATATATATATATATATATATATCATGACCATAGTTGCTTTTTAAAATATTTTGTTTTGTATTGCATGTTGCAAAACTACCATCAGTTTTCTTTTTTAAAGGGCAGCGCGAGACACATGTCATTTCTGTGTGTACATGTGCGCATTACTCATGGTCAGGTGAAGATTATTTCTTTAGACACCCATAATCCTCTTTATGTCATAACAGACAGAGGATCAGAGCTGTTCTTACACACAACAGGCACACACACTCACACAAAGTGTGAAGAGTGGTTTTGACTTGAAGTACTGCAGTAAACTCTTCATTTTAATTAGGTACAATAATTAATCATAGTCTTATTACAAGTTTTTCAATTTGCTATATTATGATTCTGAAAAAAGGTTTGTTGTGATTGTATGTTTTTAGGCCCTGCACGTGGCTGGTTTCAGCGTTCTCGGGTCCTGCAGATCCAGGCTAGTGTGAAGATGCTACTGGACTGGGCTAAAGGGGTGGGACATAGTCATCTTGCACAGAAATTCTTTGCCAAGTTCTGTAGTGCTGTGAGCATCCTGGCCACAACACCACAACAGCTCTCACAGGTAATGCAGGGAAGCTAGGTGTGTTGGGATGTTGTTTATACAGGTTTTGAGTACCAATTAAAGTCAGCATGAAACGCTTTTCTTCTCTATTGTAATGTACAGTTATATTCGAAATTATTTAACCCCCATTGCAAATCAGGTTTATTGGCAAAATTTACAGACTTTCAGCTGTTTGCAATGAACAAATCAAACAAAAGTAATTGAAATAGCTCCAACACAACAAATGTTTCAAGTGGTTTCCCCAAATTGAACTGAAATTTAAATTTGAATGACTTCTGCAGCCTCAAAATTATTAAACCCCCTGAGTAAAATCCCTCACAACAGCACAAATCTGCAAAACAGGGGCCTATACCATGAACCCGGTTTAAGTGGCTAGCCAGGTATGTTTCAGTTTAGTTTGCGCCTACCCTGGGTTTTAGGCACCATGAAAGTGGTTTGGCTTTTAGCAGTGTTCATCGCCATAGTAACTTACGCTCCACGGCTAGCCTGGTCCGGGGCAGGTTATGTTCCAGGTAAGAGGTTGCAAACCGAACTTGGACCAATCAGCTTTGAACAAAGTGACACATGTCTGACGCGATAAAGTCACTCCACCTGTTTCTACTCCAAATTAGAGGTCACTACATAGCAAATGATTTTTAAAGACAAAATTGTCTGGCTTTTAGTAATGCTTATTTAGAATAATAAATGTATGATTTAGATATTATTTATGTAATTATTATACCCTTAATTGATCACACATGTATAATTTTAGTTCATCAATTATTATTACGCAGAGTTTAAATTAATAAATATATAAAGGTAATATAAATACGCTTTAGAGTCAATGAAGCTATAAAATGACTACTTGTGAGCTTAAATGTTCAATTCTCTCTATACCTTTATCAACTGTATAAACTAACTTCACAACTTTTACTTGCACTGATATAAAGTAGCGAGACTTTCTTTTAGTTGTCCTCTTTCATAGACAGCTATTTTCTTCTTGCTGTGTAAATTTGTTTAAATTCTTAATATTTTAATACTTTTATTTAATAAGTGAATTGTGCTGCTTCTCTCGCGAGAAATTAATCGCAGTTTCACTCTATCTCAGCATGTGATTGGCTGTTCGCTACTGATGTCACACCTATACTTCTAAACTCAGGATCAAAGCCTGAGTTGACAGAGAAAGGTGATGATCAGCATCATGGTACCAACAAAGCCTGGTTGGATTGGTTTGGTTTTGTCAACTCGACTAATCCTGCAACCCTGAGTTTGTTCAACTACCATCATGGTACAGGCCCCTGGTGTTGTCTCAAGCACACCTGATTCAACTAATCAAGGGCTTCATTAGTTGCACCAGGTGTGCTTGAGCTATAACACATGAAATATCTGAACTGGCTAGGTTTGTTGAGTGTCAGTTATTCTGATTAATGATTACAGAGGCACATGAACTAAACAAACATAGAATTTTTAAATATTTTTTCATTTTCAATCTGTCAATTTCAGTGTTCGTGTAAAAAAAAATTCACCAGGCAGTGTTTCTGGAAGTTCCAGCTTATTTATTTATTTATTTTTTGTGTCATATTTAGAGTATCATGTTTTGATTATATTATGTTTTGATCTGGTTATACAAGTAAAGAGATATGAATAAAAATAATTTAACAAATTAATAAATAGTACATTTTGTTGTAGCTTGCAGTGTAGACTGTAGCTTGACAAGCTACAGTTTCAAAGTAACATTACTAGGGTTGGGTTTTATCCGATTCCAGTACCTACTCGGTATTTTTTAAACGGTTCCGGTGCTTAAACGGTTCTTAAATCGGTACTTAAGAAAATGAAACCGTACACACTTTATAAAAAAATAATACCCTTTAATTTACAGGGCCAAACTGGACACAATATTAACTTAAATCTTTAAACAATATAAATACAAGTAACATATGGTAATAATAAAACCAATATAAAATAAAAATTCATATTTACATAATATCAAATGAAACAATATTGTATCAAAAAATGTAATAATACTAGAGATTAATAGAGATTACTGCAGAGCTGCCAACTCTCACGCATTGACCGTGAGACTCACGCAAATGACCCTTTTCACACAGAAAAATCGCGGACAAAGAGGACACTGACACCGACAGACAAGACAGAGAAGGTTACTTTTGATATGGAACTAATCCACAGCTGTCAGATTCTGTCAATATTTTTACGAGATTCACACAATAAATAACGTTTTGGCTCTTTGAAATGTGACAGATCGCTGTAGCGCGTCAGTTCAAACGCCACGTGATACAGCAGCCTACAAATCCACTGCTTCTTAGCTACGCAGCGCAGTGAACCTATGAAAGAGAACATCTCTGGTTACTGGTGTAACATATCTCTCAATAGGGAACGGGACGCTGCCCGGACGCTGCCAAGCTGCTCGCGCTGCCAACCAGCTTTCTTTTTCGGCAGAGAAATCTGAGGAGTGAGGAGCAGATGGCGCGCACGCGCCAACATAATATGACGACGTCAGTGCGTCGAGGCGGCGCCCGCGCCATTAGCCAATTAATTGGCTTGATTCTATATGGGATTCAGACTTTATGATACCTAAAAGGGTTTATAGTTGAGTGATATGATGTTACACACTCCAGTACAGTAGGTGGCGGTATGCACTTTAAGTTGTTTGCAATCCGCCATTAACTAAGAGAAGAAGAAGAAGAAGAAGAAGAAGGGATTCAGACTATCGGCACACCCAGAGGGCGTTCTGACATGTAGTTTTACACGTGAAATGCAGCCAAACCTTGCGAGAAAGAGCGCGCATGCGAGACAGAAGAAACTGTGCTCCAAACTGTGTAGCACACGCACGGCGGAGAGGGAGAGAGCGAGAGACCTTGCGTGTGTGTGTGTGCCTAATGAAGTTAGGCACCGAAATCAGGCACCGAAATTTTCGTTCTTATTCGGTCTGGTTACTACCGTTTACGTCGGAACCGGTTCCCTATTGGCACCGAATTTCGGTACCCAACCCTAAACATTACCAACACCAATCCCCATGCTGAGGACATTAACTGCTCTTGTGTGTGTGTTGTCTGTAGATGAGTTGGAAAGCTTTGTGTGCTGAGCACCCGTCCCTGAAGCCTGTCCAGCTACACAGAATCCTCACACAGTACCAGCTCATGGCTGAGCTCGGTCCTCTACCAATCTGGCAACCCAGCAGTGAAGATGAGGCCTATATCTACAGAACAGGTAGGTATATGAATGGGATTAGTCTCGATCTGATTTCCAGAGACTTTGTGTATGCTAGTGTACATTGTGAAAATGTCTTTTCAATAGTTGATCTACTGGAGAGTTTTGAGAACCACCCTCCTATTGTGCTGCCGAGTGCTGGATTTAAGGTGGACCTGGAGAGTGATTGTGTGGAGGACAGTATATACCGCCAGCTACTTTACGTTCGTCACTTCGTTTGGGGTCTTCGCACCAAGACCCATCCTTCTAATGGCTGTGCAGACCGGCAGGAAGCCCAGGTAAAATATATTTAAAAATACAATATATATATCAGCTTTTTATCAGCTTCATTCGATCAAAGTCATTCTTAAAATGCGAACTTGTGAACTAGCTTAAAGACTGTAGCTTACAACACTAAGATTTAAATTCTAGACATGAGATTCGTTCTTAATCTGATTACAAGATTAGCTGTGTAATTACGAGCTGCTGGCTAAATTACGAACCATGTGTGAGTCAGTCTACAAAAAAAACACAACAAATGTTCTGGTGTTGCGACACTGTTTAAGGATTATCCAAGGCTTATTTTATTGTTTGTTTGTTTTGCCTTCAGTTTAATTGCTGTATGACTTTATTCAAGTTGAAATCACCCAAAATGTGCATTCCCAGAATAAAAAGTTAATAACATTCCTCCAATGTATTTTTTTTTTGTTTCCAGCAGAGGGCAGCCATTCTATTAATTTATATGGTAGTGACTGTACATTTTATACAAAGCATTGCCATTTTTACCACTTGAGCTACAGGACTATAGAAATAGAACAATTCAATAATTCTCCCTCTATAGTTAAAATATGAAACCACTGTGTCTTTAAAATATTGTTGTAGAAAATAATACAAATATAAAGTCCCTTTCTCCAAAGCACTGTTCAGGTAAAAATAATATATACATTTTTAAAATCATATTCTTCGTCTCATCATAGCATTCCATCTATAAATACGTCAACAACTACTGTAGCATGTAAATGATTTAAAGCATGAAACAGAAGTTGCGATAGTCTTTTCTTCTCTATTGCGACATATATCTGAGTAAAATGGCTTCTCGATCAAGAAAAAATGAAAGAGAAAAAAATCAGAGAAGAGAAGAGTTTTTTTGATTAAAGATTAAAAGGGCACATTAATTAAAAAAATATTCACATATAAATCATTTATCATAAACACTGCAATATTCCATAAAAAATAAGACTTTCACGGTGACTTTAGAGAAATAACTGACATGTTTGACCTTGAGATTGTTGTTTTCTAAGGGTCGTCAACTTAAAATATTGATATTAATAAATGATAAAAATTCTGTTCTCCAGCGTGAGACTCCTCAGCCTCACTCCAATTCACATGCAGCACCTCCGATGCGTGGAGAGGGAGAGGGGGAGGTGCGGGGCTCCTCCGCGGGTCTCGGAGGAAGAGGAGAGGGAGCGGGAGCCGAGGAACGACCCCGAGACAAGCCACCGCACAGCATTCACCACAGAAACGGGACCAGCATCCGTTACGCCAACCAAACCCAAGCGACAGACTCTTCCTGTATACTGACTCCACCTAATACGCCCCTCTATCCGGAACACACGTATATACACTCCAACACACAGTCCAATTCAGTCCACTACCCTGAGCATGCTTCACAAGAGCACACACATACACACTCTCACACAAAGTCCAATGGTTGCATGCGTTCTACTCCAGAGCACAAGAAAATCAATGGCTTCATCAGCAATGGCATTGAAGGCAAGTCAAAAACGCCTTTTGGGTCGTGGATGTGTGTGTTCTTTCTGCTCGATTTTGTCTTTTGGGTCATTCCTGTTATGCAGTACTTTCTATTTCTATTCAACTAAATGTAATGTTTTAGAGACAAACCAATTAATACCACAAAACACCTCAGAATTCATTACATATATTACTAATACTACTTCATCCATTCATTCATTCATTCTTTATTATTTGTTAGCCAGGCTAATGTGTGATGTGCTGTTTATTCGCCAAAAATATTTATAAGAAAACAGGTTTTGTTTAGTTTGAATCAATATATATATATATCAATCCTATATTTACCTTATCATGATATTGGGATCAGAGTAAACCAATTATATACATATTTTTTTATATATTTTATCCAGTTGGAAAACAATGAGGACACAATGTACTGTGTAGTAGGAATGAGCCTGTTAGTGACTGCACATTAGTTTTGCTTGTTCGACAACAGACATGTAATCATGTCTGATTTGTGTACATCGCTTTTTAATTTCACTTGAATGAGTTTATGTGTGAATACATGTGTTTATTTCTTATAAACATATGCACAGAGTTCTGTGTGTATAGTTCTGTCAGTATTGCATTTGTTTACTCTTTCCTTCATTTAATAACTTTGTTTGCATGTGCAGCAGATGATGCATTTGCCCGTTGTGAACATTGATTTTGTTTATTGGCCCGACTTCGGAGTCTGTGTGTGTAGATGTGTGTGTGTCAAATGAGCACTGAGCCTTGTGTGTGTGTCTGTGTGTGTTTGTTTGTCCCTGCCCCACTCCAGGCCCTTTGAGTGGTTGTGGTTTTCCTTTCCCTGTCCCTGTCTCTCATCTGGACCCAAACTCTGATGATATCTGTTCCGTCTTTGTAGTGGACCTGGATAAAGGACTGTACGGCCTGGGAATGGGACTTATCGATGGACTTGTGAGTCTGTGCAGACTTTTAACTCTGGTGGTCAATGTTCTATGCCCATAACCATAACACTATACATTTGTTCCACAACCTAGACAGCGTGTTGCAACATAGGCTCATTAGAAAAGTGTCTCTACCTACATTTTTGCAAAGCTCAAAAAAAAAAAGAAGTTAAATGTACCTATACATGCAATTCACTGCAGTTTACAGCTGAAATGTAAAACAGCCACACTTTTATATTCCTTTTCACACAGATTATCATCACAGGAGCAGATTTTAGATTAATAAAGCCTTGTAATAATTTTAAAACTCTTTTACTATAGTTCATGATTTGTAAATGAATACATTTTGACGTCTGTGTCACATAATAGCTCCATATGTATTACTTTTCTGATAAAGTAAACACGCTCGATAGCTCACCTGCAGCATTGCACTTGTGTCGCACAGCGCTCAGGTACGAGTCCTGTGAATGACAAGTCACGATAAAAAGCTTTAAAATACCGTGGTTGCAGCAACAAATGCATTTTTATCTTGCGTTTGCTTTTGTGAAAGGGATAGTTCACGATTCTGTCATCATTTACTCACCCTCATGTTGTTGTAAACCTGTGAGTTTCTTTGTTCAGTTGAGTGCAAGATAATTCAAAGAACATTGGTAACCAAACAGTTGTATGGAAGCTTGTTTCCACCACAGAATAAAAAATAAAAATGGTATAGCGACTTTTTATCTAACAATTATGCAAGTTATAAAGTCAGAATTGCGTGATGTAAAGTTGCAATTGTGTGTTATAAAGTCAGAATTGGGTGATATAAATTCTGAGGAAAAAAGTTTGTTTTCTTTTCCTTCGAATTGGACTTTATAACTCACAATTGTGAGTTTCTATCACAATTCTGAGAAAAATTTTAAGAATTGCTCAGAAAAGTCAGAATTCTGACTTTATAACACGCAATTGGGTTTAAATCTCGCAATTCTGAGAAATAAAGTTGCGAGATGTAAACTCGCAATTGTGAGATAAAAAGTCAAAATTATCTTTAAAATGTTTTATTCTGTCACAAAAACAAGCTTCCATATTCTATTGACTTCCATAGTATGAAAAAAAAAATACTTCTGAAGGCAATGGGGAACAGAAACCGTTTCGTTACCAACATTCTTCAAAATATCTTCTATTGTGTTCAACAGAACAAAGAAACTCATACAAGTTTAACACAACTAGTGGGTGAGTAACTGATGTCAGAATTTTCATTTTTGGGTGAACTATCAATTTAAATGTATTGTTTAGGTTCAGGGTGGGATTTAGTGTAGGTAGTACTTCATTTTCAAACGTGATAGAGCATTAACCTTTTAGCGCCACCACTCACTGAACATTTCATTTCCGAACTGCTGTGACATGGAAAACAACCAACGTAATAAAACATCGCTGGTTCATGTTCCTCTGTTTCGGATAAAACTGAATGTTCTTTAGCCCCACACACTGGGCATTTCACTTTGAAAGTGTCAGGAATCCTTATTTCTCCCAATTATAAGGCAGTATTGCATACATCCTACATAGTCCCAGAATATATTGCGGTCAGCTAAGGTTTTGGAATAGAACTTGTATTTTAATCCCTCAGTATTATTACTATAAAACAGCCAAACTAAAAGACTTACATTTTTTGATGATAAAATTCTAGCCATTGTACTATTTTTGGACAGATGTTTGATTATGTTGTGGATCATACGTTAGCCCGCAAGCTAAAAGTGGTGAAAAGGCTAAAAAACACAAAATTCTGATTCATATCATAAGCTTTAAAGGAGTAGTTCACTTTAAAAAAAACTTTTGCTGATAATTTACTCACCCCCATGTCATCCAAGATGTCCATGTCTTTCTTTCTTCAGTCGAAAAGAAATTAAGATTTTTGATGAAAACATTCCAGGATTTTTCTCCATATAATGCACTTTACTGGGCACCAAACTGTCCAAGGTCCAAAAGACAGTTTGAAAATGAACGAATCTTTTTTCGAGTCATTTGCTTCATTTAACGAACGAAATGAACGAATTGACTCGAAAAAAGATTCGTTCATTTTGATGAATGAGTTCGAACAGGAGAGTCACACAGAACAGAGCAAGGTGGGCATTTGAGCTTATAAAACTTAAACTTTGTTATTTATTTTTTAAATGAGCGATCGTTTCGCTTGATAAGACCATTATTCATCGTCTGGAATCGTTTAAAGCCCTTTGAACAGTTTGCAGTTTGCACTGAAACTGTCTTTTGGACCTTGAACCGTCTGGTGCCCAGTAAAGTGCATTATATGGAGAAAAATCCTGCAATGTTTTCATTAAAAACCTTAATTTCTTTTCGACTGAAGAAAGAAAGACATGGACATCTTGGATGACATGGGGGTGAGTAAATTATCAGCAAAAAAAATTTAAAAGTGAACTACTCCTTTAATTAAAACTAGCCAGATGGGACCGATGATCATTTCACTTTGATTCCATACTTTCTGTTAAAAAAATAAGCAAAAAACTGTTCTCGGTTTTCTCACTCTCTGTATATACAGCACACCCCTCTGAACTCTCCTGGAATCTACATCAGGACACTGATTCCAGATGGACCGGCTGCTGCAGATGGGCGACTTTGCATTGGTGACAGAATCCTGGCAGTGAATGGGACCAGTCTCATTGGAGCAGACTATCAGAGGTAATAGGGCTCCCTATACGCTACACCTATAGCGATCAAATATACCATGACATTTTCACCAGGCATGATCCTTTGCAATAATTATGTTTCTGTTAACCCTGACATTTGAATTCCGCTATGTCTGTCTCTCACAGTGCTGTGGATTTGATTCGTCTGGGGGGAGGACGGCTCCGGTTTCTTGTCGCCAAATCAGATCTTGAAGTATCAGAGAAGATCAGTGCCTCTTCCTGCTGAGAGAGAGGCTGCAAGTGTGACCCTCTACCTAAACGAAATATGAGGAGGACAGCGAGTCCTCCTTTCCGAGACTGCAGACTGGAGAACAAGCACACTATAGGACCTCTCAGCGACTACAGCTCTCTATCTCAGCCCTGTACAATACTGCACTCTTTCTCATTCAGAACAACAGTTTGACACCTCTGTCTGTCTTTACCTCTTAGCCAATCTGGTTTTGTCAAGTTATATTGAAGGGGAAGGTATGTGTTTGCGCATAATCTGGCTGATACTGTACAAAGACAATAATGGAAAACATGAAACAGGGGAAGTAGGTTTTTTAAGATGGTTAATTTGCTCAAGAAAAAAAAAACGTTCAATGGCCTCGCTAAAAGGCACAATTGAGTCTTTTTACAAATATCTGATCCTTCATGATTGATAAAAAGATTTGAAACATAAATGTAAAATTTTTCTGATTGATAAAATCTCTACTGGTACAAAGGTTCTCTCTTTCAAATTGTTGGTTAACAACACTAACTTGACTGAACATATCTATATATCCTGAACAATTGCGCTCAACAAAATCAATCTCAAGAGCCTCATATTTCATGGTGCAACTCTCTTTCTTTTTCTGTGTTCCAAGTATCTTTAAATTCTCAGTTTCCTATGTTAGCAATACTCACAATGGCAAAAACTTAAGGGTTAGTTCACCCAAAAATGAAAATCTGTTCATCTTCAGAACACAAATGAAGATATTTTTAATTAAATCAGAGATGTATGTCCCTCCATTGACAGCTACTCAAATACCACTTTCAAAAAGTTCATAAAGAGATCGTAAAACAAATCTATGTATAATTGAGCGGTTTAGTCCAAAATTTTCTTGAAGAAACACGATCACATTATATGATGAACAGACTGAATTTAGGCTTTTATTCACATATAAACATTCATCAACTCCCATATCAGTTATGATAAATGGAAGCTCGAGCATGTTCGCTTGACATGCAAGAACCAATAAGGTTCATTCTCATGTTACGCATCAGTTTGAGCTTCAGCAAGGTTTGTTCTCACGTCAAGCAAGTTTGGTTGAGCTTCTGTTTATGTTTGCTGATCAATGTTTATATGCGAATAAAAGCCTAAATTCAATGTATTAATCATATAAAGCAATCGAGTCTCTTCCAAAGAAAATTGACTAAACCGCTCAATTAATATAGATTAGTTTTACCATCTCTTTATTAACTTTTAGAAGCATCATGCTGGTAGTTGCGTAGCTGTCTATGGACAGAAATCAGAAAGATCAGCGTGTGTTCCGAAGATGAACGAAAATCTTACAGGTTTGGAACGACAAGGGTGAGTAGCCTAATTAATTACAGAATTTTAATTTTCAAATTTAATTTTCAGTTCACTAACTCACAAGTTGCATAGCCTATATTAGCTATATATATCATTTATCGTTTTCAAAATGATAAAGTGTTAATATACTACATAGAATTCACAATATAAGCTGCTTTGTTTATATATGAGTGGACATAACTTTTGAATACTGAAAAAGTGTTTATTTTTTTCCATTATTTCATGTTTGTACTAAATCTGTATCGCAATTTTTCATAAATGCATTTTTTTTCTCAGTTGAACTTGTATTTGGAAGATTTATATGGTAATATACCTTGCTATTAAATTGAACGTTGAGAAGTCAAATTACACTCGAGTGTCTTAATTCGACAGAAAACGCTGACTTGCAACATTAACCAGGAGAGGGCGCCAAAACACTGCAGGTGTCTTGGACAAAACAGTAGCCTACATGAATCAGTTCTACTAAATAAATAAAAAGGACGACAAGCATCTGTTTTCGCAAAACAGCTATTTAATTAGCTTCAAAATCTGATGCAACTATAAAGTCATAAGTCATGAAACTGTGTTTGTTTATGGGGTTATTGTAGCCTAGTCTACACAGTGAAGACAAACGTGAACTACAAATGTAAGTCCTACAGAGGGCAGTATTGTCCCACAGTTTGGTCGACGTTTCACATTTGCTGATAAGCCTTCTGAGGTAGGTCTATTTACGTTTCACCTTAGGCGATTTTGACTTAATAGTCACTAAAGTGCTTCATTTGTTTTTAATTGAAATATCGAACATTTTATCAGACTTTATAAACAGACTTAAGCACAGACTGGGAGGAATTCAAGAGCGGGAAATGGTTTTAAGAGTTTTGATTCAATTATATTGCTATTGCATCGCTGCTTCGGTCTGAATGCGAGAATCCTTTACTGGATCCACTGATCTAAAGTTTAGGAGTTTAAAGAAGAATGTCGATGCGTTTGTTTTCAACGAGTTAGTTGAAATTCTTCACCGATAAACAGGTTAAGTATTTGATGACAACACAAAAACTTAATTTGAACCTGTGGGTAGTCAAGTCATGGATGGGAAGTCATGAGAAGTCACAACTCATTTCCGCGAATCGGTTCTTTCGAACAGTTCAAAGAAACTGTTCAACTAGCCTATTCTTTTACGTCATTGCGTAGGCTAATTGACTTTCCTGCGTGACATGCTGAAACTTTCTAAGCCTCATGTAGAAGATAGGCCTACTGCGTGTTTTAAAATAGCATTTTATGTGTTAATATGGGCGTTTAGTTGCAGCTAGCTAATTGCATGTGCATGTTCAGTTTTTTTTTCAGTTTTTTTTTTCACTCATGATTAAGAACCAAATTATTAATTTAGAACCTAAATATAATTTGCATTAACACCGAATAATCCATTTGGTATCTGAAAAAAACGTTGTTACTTTACGTTTTAGGAAAATGCTATTAAAATCAACTCTGTTTGTTGATATTAGGTTAGGCTACTGTTAAAAAAAAAAAAAAAAAAAAAAAAAACAGGATTAAAATCGTTATGGGCTTGGCTACAGTCGTCATTTTTCAGTAGCCTATATGTTTTACTTGTAATGTTATGTTTGTACTGTGAGTTCACTCGGTTCTCGGCTCATTACGAGTCGGTTCTCAGTTCAGTGAGTTTTTGACTCGAGAACCTTGAACCGATTGAGTAGCCTACAATAGCCTAATGAACGAATCGCTCAGACCTGTTTATGAGCCGTTTCATCTGATTTATTGAAAATATTCGAATTCGAAAAGATTTGAGCCTTCGTTCATGAATCAGACATCGTTATCTCAAATCAGACACTTATGAAGTTGCATGATGGTGAGTGCTGTTTAGGATGCAGTAGACAGCGAATTCGCTCACTAGCTTTGGAGACACAGCTACCTCAGCAGCGCACTGACAGGTGTAAGATTAACTTTGTTAGGCGCGGGCGCGTCCGTGCGCGACAAATTAAATTAATGGAACAAATTTCCCCCGTAATTAAGATAAAAATTCGTGTCAGCTATAACCTTGCCTAGCGCTAATTATGTACAAATGATTTATCATCTGTTTCGGTCGGAATATTAATCTTCAGCTCGTTGCAAAGCGCGGCTTGTGTTAAGAGATGAGGCTTGATTAACACTGACAGGTCTAGTAACTGCTCTCTCCCTCGCCTCAATTAACAGATAGTGGATGCGCAGGCAAGCAGAACCCTATTCTGAATCTGCAGCGACTAAAATAGTCCAAGCTTTCAAACACAGCTGCAATACGAACTCCTTGTTATCCCTTATTCGACTAGACGCCATATTTAATTTTTCGCAAATGAAAACGAGGCGGTGAGGGAGAAGATGTAGCCCACGTTCAATGGCCTTAATATAGGGTGTCAATCATTCATTCAACTGACATTCAGGAAAATTGAAAATACATCTTTTTTATAGAAAATCTGTTGACAAAATACTACTCTGTAAAAGGTGTTTTGAAAATTACAATGCATGTCTGGCTCGTTTTTTATCCTTGAAAAATGAAACATGGCGTCTCTTAATATAGTTCATTGTTCTTTCAAACTTATTTGTTGAAACACTCGCTTCTTACTCTGACATTTATGAGGATATTTTGTTCTCTCAACTATTTAAATAATTATCATACTTTATACGTATAGTCCATTTCTTCTCCACTGTTTACCTATTAGCCCTGATATATTAGTGCATGTGTTTTTTCTGAAGGCAGTTTGCTAGGTTAAGAAATACATCATGCTACGACCTGTATCATCACACCGGTGCTGATACAGAGTGACAGGACACTAAGCTGCTTTATAGCAATGGATGGGCTTGCAAACTGTATCATCAATCATGTGAAATGAGCAGAAAGCACTGTGAGGGGCAACAAAGTCAGGGCATAGTTGGCCTTAATCATTAGTTTATCCACTGGGCCAGAGACAACACATGTAAACCCAGTAACCTCGAACAAGCCTAAAGGTGTTGCATCAACACTCAGACATTTTTCTTTATTCTTTATTACAGCATTGGTCTACTATGGCCAGGATAGCTTAAACAAGTGAAATAGACTTATGTTTCTGATGACTTAAAGGTAGGTGATTTGTTGAAACATTTTTTTGTTATACTGGTTGAAAGCAATCACATCCTGATAGCAATCACTAAGTTAGGTGGTCTAAAGTATATTATATCAGTACATTTCCTCCTATGCAGAGTTAGACAGTCGTCAGTCACTGAGCACCGCTAACGAAACAGCAGCCACCTTTTACAGTTCCTCCTGATCCAAAACAGTGAGCTTATGCTGCATTCACACTATAACTATATTTGGAAGAGATGGAAACCCGTGACTCGAATTTATGCGTTTCAATGGCAGCGCTATCAACGCCAAAATGAACCTGCAGCAGTCAGGTGGTTCAGGTCAGTGCTCTTTAAGTTGTATATGTTCATTATTATTGTAATGTTATGTGCTTTGAGACATGAGTTAACGCTGTCTCGTGACGCTTTGCAGACTCTGCTGTGGTCGTTCATGTGTTTTGAAGATGTCGTGGAGACGCTCTGAAGGGAGGGTTGGATCTCATGCTTTCAAAGCTAGCTTGATATTGCTAGCCTCTCCGAAAATTGCCTACCCTACCTTTAAAGACAGTTGCATAAAGGTATTTTTCCCCCCATATGTGTGTTAAGGTAAGGTTTAGGTTTATTTTCCATACTGCCGCCCATAAGAGAGGTT